GGCCCTGCACCCTCCAGGTAGTCGCCTCAGTTGCCTCTCGAAGTGCTAACAAGCAACGCTTTTCGTTGTAGTTTTCACTTTTGGATTCCAGGTATAGGTATTTCCAGAAATTCCCGAGAATTTCGCGTGGCGCTTCTGGGGATTGGGGGGAGGGTTTCTTGGTGTCCATATTGAATAAAGGCTGGTCGCCTGGATGTTGAGTTGCGGCGTTATACTGCTAAACCCTAAGTTGTTGGAAAGAAAACAGTTCGAACAGTTGAAGAGTGAGATCGATCAGGAAAAGCGATGGAACGATTGCGAGTTTTACAGTTGGATTAATTGCTGGTTGTCGCATTGGTTACCGGGAGTTCAGAATTTAACTTAATAAGCTAACTGCTCCTGGAAACCATCTCTTGTAACCTTCGCTTGAAGGAGCGGCTGCGTTTTCCTGAGTACAATACATTAAAGTCCCGGATAGGAAAATAGAAAGTGATTAACAGAATTTTCGGGGTTAGATTGGGTGCAGTGTACTCCGTGTACATGTTGAGAACCATGAAGTAAAGTTAGATCAAAATTAAGGAAAAGTATGTATATTAGTCTGAGCAGAATTGGGTCTTTTTTTTTTTTTTTTTTTTTTTTTTTTTTTAGTGTTTTGTTTTTAAAAACCTAAAAATGGGTGCTGGATTGAATAGCTTGAAGGTCGTAAGCTTTACTAGAAAGAATCTAAGAGTAAAAATTGAGAGAGGTGTGAACTGAATTTGTCTGTGTGTGATCTTGGGAAAGTCGTTAGTTTTGAGTGCCTTATCCTGTAAAATGGAGATGATAATTTCAGTGGTTTTCTCACAGTGTCTGGCAAATCCTGTATACAATCATAATGTTTGGTTTGTAAGTTGTACACGTAGTTAATGGTTTTTATCTATAAAACTTAAAGTTTGCTAAGCCTCGTCTTCCCATCCTCCCCCAATTTTCGTGGAAGAAGATATGATTTGAAAATCACTGTATTTTGCCTCTACCTGGTATGCCTTCGTCTTTAGATTCATTGGTCAGAAAGTTTTCACCTTAACTTAAATTCATATTAAATCTAAGAGCTATTGCAAGGTAGGATTAATGTCTTATTTACTTTTTAAGATACTATTCCTGGAACTTGTATGATGCCTGTCACTTGTTTTTGTTTGTTTCTTGAACCCAGACTGGCAAAACCTAAGCTTTGGGTTCACCAGAAACCAAAATCATTTTACAGTGGAAAAACACTGTTTTTTGTCACTTGAAGATGTGCTTTTTAGCTTAGTGTTATGTAGACAGACAAGTTAGAGGGTGTTAGATATAGAATTAGACTTTGAATTGCCTGGAGAGTTTCAAAAATGCTGGTCCCAGTAAATATTGGGGTGCCTGGGTGTTTTAGTTGGTTGAGTGTCTGACTCTTGATTTCTGCTCAGGTCAGGATCCCCGGGTCTTGGGATCAAGCCCTGCCTCAGGCTCTGCACTGAGTGATGAGCCCGCTTACGATATCCCCCCCCCCCCCCCCCCCCCCCCCCAATCTCAATACATAAATAAATGCTGATCCCTGGTTCCTACTCCAGACCAATTAATCAGAATCTCTGGAAGATACGACATGGGTATACCACTTTTTAAAACTCCCCAAGTTATTATGTTGTGCAGCTAGGATGAGAATCCATGTGTTAGAGGAATGAGATTCTTCAGCAGTGTATCCAGTTTGCTTGAGGAAGGAATGGCTGGAGGAACTGGAGCTGCATCTGACATCTGGAATATGTAGCTTGGGACGTTTAGGGGAATATTTTTAGAGGACTTTTATCAGCAGGTATGGTGAAACGTATGATTTGTAAAGTGAACTGTACAGTGACCCATGGGAACAATGACAGCAACAGTGGTGATGGAGAGATTAATAAACATTCTTTTCTCTCCTGGATGTTAAGTATTTTGAAGAAAGCAAGTAATGATTTTAATTTGCAAACTTTTTTTGCCGTATCTAATAAAAACTGTACCTTTCAACAATTGAAAAGATTGTGGTATGTGATTTCTTTGTTGCTGATTATTTAAAAATGTACTCAAAAATTTATATTTTTCAAATGGTTTTCCTTGTTAATAATGAAATAATCTCATTGCTCATAATAGCTTTATGTTAATATGGGTTTCTTTTGTTTTTGATTTTTTAGTACTATAAGATTGATATTAAAGACATGGTTTTCACTCCTCATCAACACACATAAGTTTTCTCTTCATTTTGGACCCCTATTTTATACCACAATGGTAAGTTGTAGCTCATTATGTTTGTGGTTGTATTTTAGAATGTTCTCTTCCTTCATTTCCATAAAAATACTGTATTACGGGTACAGAAATACTTAATGTATGCCCAAGTTAACCTAACTGGTGAATTACTTAGCAATCACCTGCAAAATCTGTTTCAGAAAATAGGGGGCTTATCTCTCGATTCAGTGTTGGAATTATGCCCAATTTAAACTGATCAATTATCTGTCCTTATCTTTGCGAAGCATTAAAAAATACTTACCTTCTGGGCGCCTGGGTGGTTCAGTTGGTTGAGCGTCCAACTTCAGCTCAGGTCATGGTCTCACGTCTCGTGAGTTCAAGCCCCGTGTCAAGCTCTGTGCTGACAGCTCAGAGCCCGGAGCCTGGTTCGGATTCTGTGTCTCCCTCTCTCTCTGCCCTTCCTCTGCTCACTCTGTCTCTCTCTCCTTCAAAAATAAACATTTAAAAAAAAAATGTTTTTTAAATAGTTACTTCTTTCTGCCATAGTCAAATCACTGCCAAGGAGGATGGGTATAAATACAAATGGCTTTGGAGGACACAGGTTTCTCATATTTTAAAACTTCTTTTAATTTAGATTTTTTTCTTTAATTCAAAAACAAATGTAACCTGCTTACTGCAAATAACATTTTAAGCAGCATCCGTGTTGGATTTTAATGGCACATTTCTGTTCACTGACTTACAGTCATTAAACATACTAGGGACTGGGTGTTTACCTTTTGCCATTAAAAAAAATAAAGACATGGAAAAAATTATTATGTTTTAAAGAATCAGCAGCATTTGACAATGAAAAAATAAACACTGACCACCGTGTTGAATAAACCTTTGAGAACAGTTCTCTTCTTTTCCAATCTTGCGTATCCACCACTGCCCTGTTACAGAAAAGTAGAGCTGCTGAGGCGCCTGAGTGGCTCAGTCAGTTGAGCATCTGAGACTTCGGCTCAGGTCGTGACCTCGTGGTTTGTGACCCTAGTTGGGCTCTGGGCTGACAGCTTGGAGCCTCCTAAGATTCTGTGCCTCCCTCTCTCTCTGAAAAATAAACAAACATTAAAAAATTTCAAAAAAAATAGTGGAGCTGTTACAATGAGATGCTGACCTTGACTTATATTTTGCACCATATTAGCTATCAATTCCTTCTTAAATGTTGGAAGGAAGTAGTGAATAAATGATGTTTATGTTTACATTTGCAGTTCTATCTCTCTAGAGCTTTTGAAGTTTTGATTTCAGAAGATGAGGTACTTACTTGAGAAGACTAACAATAGCCAGTTGTCCTCAAGTGTACATTTGATTGTGTTTATTATAGTTTTTTATATAAATTTACGTTAAGGTTTTATGAGCAAAATAATTTAAAAACCTTATATATTTGTTCAGAGTACTCATCCAGGCAATGGTTTATACTCAAGAATCTCATCTTGAATCCTGGGAACCAATTTCGTTATGAATCTGCTGCTCATAAGATTTTTTTCATAAATTGGTATAAATTTATTTTAACCTTTTGAAATGATGGCATATTTCAGATTTTTTTTACTTTTAAATTTTACGTGTTTAATGCGGGTTTTTTTTTTTATTACAGTAAAAACGCAGACAAACTATTTTTGTAATCCTACGAATTCTCCATCCTTACGACTAGAGTGGCAGGGGCACTTAAACCTTTTCACAATTTCCAAAGGCTGGCACTATTTCTTTTTTCCATTGCATTCTTGGGATTTTGGTGGGTGCTAGTAGTTTTTACTACATGGAATTTGGTAGGTTGAATTATTGGAGTCTACAAAATAAAACAAAAATTTAGGTCCTTGTATGTTAACAATGAAAGCTGTCTCTTGATGGAATTAAAAATTAAAGAGGACTATCATTGTGAATGAAAAATACTGTAATCCTGTGTGGTAACCAAACCACAAAACTAGAAAGAGATATCATTGGTGTTAAATTTTCTTATTTAAAACTTAATACTTTTTATTCTTAGATGTCCTTACAAAAGAAAGCTTTACAAATGAGGAAGTCAGAGACTCCTCTTCTCTTGGCTTGAAATCATGGTCTCTAAGAAATGGATGAAGGGTGGGAATCTACTATAAGATCTCAAACCCTATGTGCAGTAATAAAACTATTACTTCATTCTAGATACATTTTCTTTTACATTTTAGTATTGAGTTAATGATGAGTCTATAATTAATGACATCTTACAATTATAATTGGCTTTTCTTAATATTACCTGAAAGCCTGGCTGACTGACTCAGTTAAGCGTGTGACTCTTGATTTCAGCTCAGGTCATGATCTCAACAGTTGTGAGATCAAGCTCTGTGGCGAGCTTGGCACTGTGTGTGGAGCATGCTTAAGATTCTGTCTCCCTCACCCTCTGTTTCTCTATCAACTCACTTGCTGTCTCAAAAAAAAATTTTTTTTTTAACCTAGGTTACTGATAACATGCTTATAACTGATGGTATCTTAAAGTCATTGAAACATGGTAATGATAGCCATCATTTAATGCGTTTCTAGTAGGCACTGACCTAGAAACTTTATATTATAGATTCTCTGCATTAAGATACTAGAAATTTCTATATTGGTGTTATGTACCAATATAATAGCTCCCCCAGTTTTCAGGATTCCTAGCAGATTCACTTTAATTGCATGCTTGATATTCATATATTTTCCTGAATGGTGCTCTTAGAGTGTTGTAGAAGTTAAAGTTCATAAAGTGGTAGTAGTTTCTCTGACTCTTGGCTCTGTAGCCAGAGAAAACCATTTTAGCATTTCTGATATAATTTGTGGTCCTAATCAGGTGCCCAAGACTGCCATGTTTTCTCTTTGTAACATATCTCTAACATAGAGTGGGGTGGGTAGAGGGTACAAAAATAAAGGAAAATATGTTAGATGTATTTTAGGAGATAAAACATATTTAAACACTTAACTAGAAATGTTATATGTATATAAAATTTTTTGTGAGAATAATATCAAATACACTATTTACTCTTTACAGCAACAAGCTTTAGAACTAGCTTTGGATCGTGCTGAGGTGAGGCATGACTAAGTTACATATGAAATAGTGTCGTCTTAATTTGTCTTAATTAACCAAACTGAGTTTTAAGAGATTTTTATATGTGGTTGTCAAAGGAGTACGTTAACATTTTAGGACAAGTATGCATATAATTTTTCTATAAATTATAAAAATACTCTGTGATGATGTTTAGGTCATCTGTTAGAATTCTCAGATAATGTTGTGGAATAAAAATTATCGAATAAAGACATAGGATTTCCAAAATTGTGTTTTCCTGTTTTGATAAGTTTTCTAATTATTCAATTAATGAGGAAGATAATTCAAAATGTGTAGATTTCTTGCACTTGGATACGCTGTGCATATTCTAAATAACCATAAAACATATTGAGAATAATTTTGACCTGTGAAACCTCAGTTCTGAAACTATATAATTTTTTTTATATCATAGCAGTGAAATATTATGCTAAGTTTTAGTACAGTTTAAATTTCACTTGTTTGTAACATATATTTAGAAGTTAAGTAGTTTTTCTCCAAGGTATAATTTTAATATGAATCAGAGATTGAAGCGACTAAATAGTCTGTTTAGTCTTAACCCGTGTTTTAAGTATACTTAATATAGGTGTTCATGTGCTAATAAGCAAAAGGCAAACTGTTTTCATGAACTTTTCTTTTCTAGTATGTTATTGAAAGTGCCCGACAGAGACCTCCTAAAAGGAAATACCTGTCTAGTGGAAGGTATGAATATTTTATTGATTGGTATTTTAGATTATTTAAAATATGATATCTACCATTTATTGCATTCCTGCTAGGCACTGTGCTAGAAATGTTATAGGTACTTTACGTGTATTTGAAATTTCTGAGTTGATATTAGCTACTATATCCAGCTTACTTCATCCTCAGTTTGGGGGAAATTGGGGGGAAGAATTATGGGAAAATTCAAAATAACATCCATTTTATGATTAGAATATTCACATTTTGTTTCATTAAATTTTAGAAAATCTGTATTTCAAAAACTTTATGACTTATATATTGAAGAATGTGAAAAAGAGCCTGAGGTTAAGGTAAGTATAAATTTTTTATGTTTTTACGGCTTTTGAAATGTAGAGGAACAGGGACATTTGAAAGATTTACATTTGAAGCAGGTAATGATTTATATTTTTGTGAGAGAACTAACATCTTTCCTAGCCAGACTGTAGCCAGTTTTGCAGCTCACCCACAGCCTTGGCTAATCTGGCACCAAGTAGAGATCACCTGCTTAGGTAGGAGAGACGACCAGTGTTTATCGAGTAACAGAAAATCATTGAGAAGTCCAAAGAAGCAAAGCTCCTATATATATTATCTTTTGCTTCTTTTTCCCCTGATAAGTGATTTGTAGACTGGAAGAAAAAGTAACCTGTTTCCTCATGGTGATTTGTACTGGAAATTTAAAGGTTTTACAGGATGTAGGACATTCAGGTGTGATAATAAAAGATGAATTTGGTCACAAATACTAGTTCCAGATTCGATTAACAGAACTCATTTTTAATTAGCATAAAAGTATGGGCAGTAGAAATGTAACAAATTGATTCCTTAAGATCTTTTGGACTCTTGGGGTATAAAAGCCTTAAAAAGTTTCTATGTGCGGGGTGCCTGGGTGGCTCAGTCGGTTGAGCGTTCAACTTCAGCTGAGGTCATGATCTTGCGGTTTGTGAGTTCAAGCCCCGCATCAGGCTCTGTGCTGACGGCTCAGAGCCTGGAGCCTGTTTCAGATTCTGTGTCTCCCTCTCCCTGACCCTTCCCCATTCATACTGTCTCTCTGTCTCAAAAATAAATAAATGTTAAAAAAAAACGTTTCTATGTGCTTCTTTAAAAATGAATACCGTTTTTTCGTGAGTTTGAGCCCCGTGTCGGGGCTCTGTTCTGACAGCTCAGAGCCTGGAGCCTGCTTCAGATACTGTGACTCCCTGTCTCTCTGCCCCTCCCCTGCTCTGTCTCTCAAAAAATAAATAAACTTAAAAAAAAAAAAAAAAAGAATACATTTTACTTTTTAGACAAAAAATTAGTAGAATTCCAGTAATATCCTGCCTTTAAAATCTTCAATAGGAGAAAACATTAAATATTGAGTAAATTTTACACTGTGTTTCTCATAAGTTTTTTTGAGGTATAATTGATATACAATAAATTACATGTGTTTAAAATATATATTTTGTAAGTTTTTACATATATGTGCACCCATGAAGCCATCATCACAATATAACAAATATGTCCATCACTTCAGAGACAGAATTAAGGTAGGAGAGATAAAGGTTCTAAATTGGGTTTGGCAGCCATTACCTGCCAACTGAATCTTGCCCACTGCACGTTTTCGTAAATGAGGTTTTATTGGAATCCAGCCACACCCATTCATTGTCTTGTCTGTGGCTGATTTTGAGGTACAACAGCAGAGTTAAGTATTTGCAACAAAGACCATATAGCCCACAAGCCTAATACGCTATCTGGCCCTTTAAGAAAGAAATTTTCTGACCTCTGATTTGTATATTGACCCAAAAACTAAGTGGAAACCAACTTTTATTGTCTTGAGGAGATGCTGTCACAGTTTTTCTGACTATTCTGTCATGTGTCAAATTACAACTTTTTTTAACTTTAATTTTTTTTTTTTTTTTTTGAAATTTACATCCAAATTAGTTAGCATATAGTGCAACAGTGATTTCAGGGGTAGATTCCTTAGTGCCCCTTACCCATTTTGCCCATCCCCCTTCCCACACCCCCTCCAGTAACCCTCAATTTGTTCTCCATATTTATGAGTCTCTTCTGTTTTGTCCCCATCCCTGTTTTTATATTATTTTTGTTTCCTTTCCCTTATGTTCATCTGTTTTGTCTCTTAAAGTTCTCATATGAGTGAGTATGACATTTTCTTTACACTTGAAAATACTTTAAAATTTTAGTCTCTCTTTACTAGTTTTTTGAAGTAAATGTTGATTTGCTTTTTTTTTTTTTAATTTTCGAAATGCTGGATTTTTTGTTTCCTGGTCACAATAAATCAGTTTTTCATTTCTCTGTGCATAAAACTGTATGTATACATGTTTAATATAAAATATACAAATAGTTAGGTTTGTTTTTTGAGATTCTGCAGAAATACTCTATTGATTCAATTTTTTATAAATAAGATGTGATGAAGTGAATTCTTATATCTATGTGGGTTTCATTTTAAATCATAGGCATTTGTAAAATAATGAATTTTTAGGTATGTGTATTATATTTTCTGATGGTTTTTGGTTTTGTTTTATTAACAAAATAGTTTCTAAGGAGCTGTTAAATTGAATTTGTCGGAAATTGCTTAAATTCCTAATTTCCTCTTCTTTTTAAAAATTTTTTAACGTTTATTTTTGAGAGAGAGAAAGTGGGAGAGGGGCAAAGGGAGAGGGAGGCAAAGGATTCAAAGCAGAGGGATGTCCCTTGCAGAGGATATCTCTGCGCTGACAGCAGAGAGCCTGATGTGGGACTCAAATTCAAGAACTGTGAGATCATGACCTGAACTGGTGTTGGATGCTTAACCGACTGAGCCACCCAGCACCCCAGTTTTCTTATTTCCTCTTACAAGCTAAGTGTCTTTGAGCCTAACATTACAACTGACTAGAGCTGTTGATTTGTTTAGATCTAATTATGCCAGAAAACGTGTTAAGAAGTAGATACCTATAATAGTACAACTGAAGATAAAACCCCAAATTCTTTATTTATTTTTGTGTAGACTTAAATTTAATAGAAACTAATTATATGGCATCTATGTTTTATATGTTTGCATTTAATGGTTTTACTCTTCACTTAAATATTTTTGTTATATTCTATTTATGTACTCAAAGATACATATTTCATATATAGACTTTTTTCTTTGTCGTATGAACTAATTTCTATAAAATGTAATCAAAATTAAGTTTATGTAAATGTTCTGTATTTGGTAGCTGTAGTGTTTGTGCATTTTCCTCATATGTGGAAGGAGCACCAAAAGATAATCTAATTTTGTTAAAGTAGCATTTTTGTTAGGGTTATGCCTGATTATTTTCATGAGCTCTGCCTCTTTTTAAAGCAGAAATTAAGAAGAAATGTGAATCTGTTAGAGAAGCTTGTTATGCAAGAGACATTATCCTGTTTAGTGGTCAACCTATACCCAGGAAATGAAGGATATTCTCTGATGCTCAGGGGAAAAAATGGATCAGGTAAGAACCTCCAAAGAGCTACAGCCACAGATATCCCTCTGCAAGGCAGGGTGTGCTGTCTTCTAGAAGTAGAAGTGGTCTGTCCTTCAGGTCATTGATGACTTGATAAAAGAACCCTTTGAGTCCAAATTTTCCTCTTTACTATGTTTTGTTAGAAATTATCTCTAAGATGATTAGCCTTCATGAATATGCATTTGTAAAGAATTCTAATTGAGGTAGGTCTTTGAAGTTAAATTGTATAAGACCCAACCTTTAAATACTTGTCACGGGGCGCCTGGGTGGCGCAGTCGGTTAAGCGTCCGACTTCAGCCAGGTCACGATCTCGCGGTCCGTGAGTTCGAGCCCCGCGTCGGGCTCTGGGCTGATGGCTCGGAGCCTGGAGCCTGTTTCCGATTCTGTGTCTCCCTCTCTCTCTCTGCCCCTCCCCCGTTCATGCTCTGTCTCTCTCTGTCCCAAAAATAAATAAAAAACGTTGAAAAAAAAAATAATTGTCACAATTCTCTATTTCTATTTATACTTTAAGATAGCATAAGGTGTTTTATGTTTTTCTTCTGTATTTTGACTGTACTGAGTCTAAAACCTTCAAAATTAAGCAGATTCACTGCCTTTTGAATAATTTTTCATATTTACATTTCTATTAATGTAAACTTGAAAATAGAGTTTTGGAATATAAGCACTCTTAGATTTCACTAAAGACATCTTAGAAATGTGTTATGGTGATGATGATGTGGGTTCTACAAGGAAATCACCTATTTAAGATTTTCTTCTTCTGTTGATAATGTATTGTAAAATGTAACAGCCAGAGAATTTTGTTCTGTAGGTGACCATTTTTCATATGAGGTACCAAATTATCACTCTTATTTTCAGATTAGATTAAGTTGTTTTAAAGGGAATTTTCAGTTACCAGCATTGGAATTTTATCATATTCTCATTTTTGCACTACTGGCTGTGGTTTGCATTATGTTGTTATGCCAGATTCTTTTTCACATGTGTTGGAGGTTTTCTCCTTTCTGGCCTAAAATTGTATACAGTTTACCAAGTCTTATAGCAGTATGTGAAGTGACTTATTTGTAAGACAAATAAAGAAGGACTTTAGAAGAGCCTTTTGGATTTATTTGCTTTATTTTTTTATGAAAACTCATTTAAATTATGCACCTAAGCTTTATGGTGAGCCTGATATTTTCAGAAACTTTATGTTTTAAAATTAAGATTCTGAGACCATTCGACTGCCTTATGAAGAAGGGGAATTGCTTGAATACTTGGATGCAGAAGAATTACCTCCAATTTTGGTTGATCTCCTAGAAAAATCTCAGGTACAAATTTGTCTCTTTAAAATTTCATTAGGGTCGCCTGGGTAGCTCAGTCAATTAACTGTCCGGCTTTGCCTCATGTCATGATCTCGTGGCTTGTGAGTTTGAGCCCTGCATTGGGCTCTGTGCTGACAGCTCAGAGCCTGGAGCCTGCTTCAGATCCTGTGTCTCCCTCTCTCTCTGCCTCTCCCTCTGCTCACACTCTCTCTCTCAAAAATAAACAATAAAAAAAAATCTTTTTTAAATGTCGTTAGATTTGTCATCTCTGTGGTGTTTGTTATAAATGATATTTATATTTAAATGATATTACATTCTCAATGGTATTTGGAATAGGAAGTGAGACATTGTATGTAATTAGGTGGTAACCATTTTATTGTGGGATACTTACCCTTAGGCTGTACTGAAATGTATAGATTTAGTTGATTCTTCTAAAATTCCTTTAATAATTCGCTCATTTTAGAAATTTCTCTATACCTACAACAAGGATTATGGGAGAAACTCCTGACTTTGGCTTCACTCCAGCGATACTGTATACTTAGGAAAAAAAGGCCATCTGATGGGAACTTGCATTTTCTTCTAGCCCTAGTCGTCTAGAGGTCTGTCCACACTTTCTGCCTGCCTTTCTGTTAAAGTGGATGAAAAGTATTCTGTTCTTAAGAAATCCCCTCTACTTGTATTCTGGATCCTCCTTCTCAAGGACTTGTGACTATAATCTCTCCTTCTATCATCTCTTTACTTCTTTCTACTAGATGAAAAATACAAGTATGTTTTACTGTATCTCAACTTAAAAAAATAATCCTCCCTTGACCCCATGTCCTTCTTCAGCTAGTGTTGTACAATTCTGCTTTTCTTGATGGCAAAGCCACTCACAAAGTTGTCTATAATCATACTGTCTTTTTTTCTCACATCCCGTTATTTTCTCTACCCACCGCTTTCAGCATTATAACATCACCATTCTACAGAGGCAGTTTTGTCAAGGTTACCAATGATCTCCATGGCACAGAATCAGTTGGTCACTTTTCTGTTCTCATCTTTAATTGGTCTCAACAAAATACAGTGCAAATGAACTTTCCTCCTTGAAATACCCTTCTTTTGGCTTCTGAGACATCTCATTCTGGTTTTCCTCTTCTCTCTGTTCCTTCAGTCTTCTTTACTGTCTTCCCTCTTCCACTCCTAAATGTGTGCAGGTTTCAGAGTTCATTCCTAGGCCCTCTATTCTTTAGTAACACCGTCTCTGGATGATCTCAGCCAGTGTCAGGAGTTGAAAAATGACATCTAGGGGTGCCTGAGTGGCTCAGTGGGTTGGGCATCTGACTTTGGCTTGGGTCATGGTTTCATGGTTCGTGAGTTCGATCCCCGGGTTGAGCTCTGTTCTGACAGCTCAACCTGGAACCTGCTTCGGATTCTGTGTCTCCCTCTTTCTCTGCCTCTCCCCCGCTGACACTATGTCTCTGTTTCTCAAAAATAAATAAACATTAAAAAAAATTTTTTTATTAAATAAAATAAAAGTGACATTTTATCCCTTGCTTATATCTTCAGGACTATTCCTTCAAGCTCCAAACTTCTGTTTACTAGGATATGTATTAGGTTCCTCAAACTTAAAATGACAAAAACAGAACTTTTGATTTTGCCTTCCAAAACAGTTCTTGTCCTTCTAATCTCAGACTCTGCTCTGACCTTTTACGTTCAGTCCAACAGTAAATGTCAGCTGTACCTTCAAAATATGTATGGTCATGACCTGCTATAGTTACCTTGCTGAGCTTTTTGCTTTCATTCTGGAACCCCAGAAATCAGTTCTCCACAGACAACTAGATTCAGCTTATAAAACAAACAATAGGAAAAAAAAGTTCCCAGGCTTCAAATTCTTCAGTGTCTTCTCACTGTATAAAACCTCTATCTTCTTGTCTTCATCTCCTGATTCTCATCCCAGTCTTTATACTCCAGCCATGCATTGTTCTTTACGTACTAAAACACACCAGGTATATTCCTACCTTAAGGCCTGTCATCTGCTATTCCTTCTGTCTGGAATGATCTGTGCCAGATGTCCAGTCCTTTGTTGTGATTCAGGCCTAAGCTAAAAAGTCACTCCTGAGAGGTTTCTTTCTGAGCACACGATCTATGTTAGCTCCTCCCTATTTTATTTCCTTTTTAGCATTCATCACTAAGATTATCTTGTTTATTTCTGTACATGCTTATTGCCTGTCTTCCCACACTAAGAGCAAATGTTGTCCCACCACCCGTATATCTGTGAAGCTTCTTTAGTGCCTGGCCTATAGTTCACGTTGTCATGGACATAATAATGACTCATAGCATAGAAAGTCACAGGCTCCAGTAAAAGTTCTGAAAGCGTGAAAAAACATCACTTTCTATAAATGACTAATGTAGATTGTAATTAGCAAGACTTGAATTATAAAAGTCCTTACTTTTGGACTTACAAAAGGATTGGAAAACAGACAATATTTGAATTTATAGTTTACTTTCTTCCTTTTATTAATAAAGACTGTCCTATTTCTGGATATCTTAGAGCGAATAGAAGTTTCATCTAGAAGCTGAAACTGGCAGGGTTGATTGACACTTGATAACAAAAGACAAACTTGGTAACAATGACAGAGTTAGCAAAGTATAACAGCCAGTGAGCGTCAAGAATAGCATTTCCAGTGATTTGTAATATTAATAGTATATAAATGTCAAAACCCAATCTATAAGAAACCATTAAACAATTTGAAACTGCTTGTTGAGTCATAATGATGAACATAAAATAATTCCTTGGAAAAGTTTATATAATGGTAAATCCATCAAGGAAGTCCACTTTAGAGTATGTGAGTGGCTAGAAGTATTGCATAAGCATGTAAAGAACTCGAAACATTCAATATAAGCAGACTTCTGTAGGCTTTTGAAAAATGAGATTTACTTAAATATTTTCACTCAAAACAGGTTAATATTTTTCATTGTGGATGTGTCATAGCAGAAATACGTGACTACAGGCAGTCCAGTAATATGAAATCTCCTGGTTACCAAAGTAGGCATATTCTCTTACGTCCAACAATGCAGGTAAGGAATGTTTAACTATTTTAGGAGTGCCTGGCTGACTCAGTCAGTGGAATGTGTGAGACTTGATCTTGGGGTTCCAAATGTGAGCCCCCATGTTGGATATAGAAATTAGTTAAAAATAAAATCTTTGGGGGCGCCTGGGTGGCTCAGTCGGTTAAGCGGCCGACTTCAGCTTGGGTCATGATTTCGCGGTCCGTGAGTTCGAGCCCCGCGTCAGGCTCTGTGCTGACAGCTCAGAGCCTGGAGCCTGTTTCGGATTCTGTGTCTCCCTCTCTCTGACCCTCCCCTGTTCATGCTCTGTCTCTCTCTCTCTCAAAAATAAATAAATGTTAAATAAATAAATAAATAAATAAATAAATAAATAAAAATAAAATCTTTGAAGTGCACCTGGGTGGCTTAGTCAGTTGAGCGTCCAACTTTGGCTCAGGTCCCCAGTCTCTGCAGTTGTGAGTTCGAGCCCCACATTGGGCTCACTGGTATCAGCACAGGACCTGCTTTGGATCCTCTGTTCCCCACTTCGTCTGCCCCTCCTTCACTCTCACTCTCTCAAAAATAAACATTTAAAAAAATGTTTTTAATAAAATCTTTAAAAAGAAAAATGTATTTTCGATTTTATTTGGAGTTTTATTAAGTATCTTCATATGTTTGTACATTAATGTGTTTTTTAAAACTCTTATTTCTTTTAGACTTTAATCTGTGATGTGCATTCAATAACAAGTGATAACCATAAATGGACCCAGGTTAGTTGTTTTTTAATTCCAAACAGGGAAAATACAGGATGGAATAATACTTAACAAGAAGTAAAGCGAAAGATATTTTATTTGTAATTTTATTCATGAGTAAATTTTGGGATTCTTTAATGAGGTTTAGAAATCAGGGGTCTGTTGGGGTGCCTGGGTGGCTCAGCTGGTTAAGCATCCAACTCTTGACTTTGGCTCAAGTCATGATCCCACACTATGTGGGTTTAAGCCCTATATCTGGCTCTGTGCTGACAGCATGAAGCCTGCTTGGGATTCTGTCTCCCTCTCTCTCTCTCTGCCCTCCCCTGCTTGCTCTCTTATCTTTCAAAAAAATAAACTAAAAAAAAAAAAAAAAAAAAAAAAAAAAAAAAGAAATCAAGGGTCTCATCATCCATGCAGTAATCCTTCAAAGAACTAAGCAGTTCAATCCCATTTGCTTTAGGACCATGATGAAATAGGGTCAGGCTGACCTGAGCTGCCCAATATGTGAAATTCAGTTTTTTATGCTCTCTCAAACAGAAGAAAAAAAATTCTTTTATACCATGGATACAAGTGGATTCTGATTTTCCATAATCTAGGATTCTAAAGCGAGCTTACCCTGTCTTTGCCATTCGTACCAGTTGCAGCATTGGGGGAACTCTATTACCCTTGAGAATAGCCAGTAACTCTCCAGTGCTGACTCAGTATATATGAGGTGCTAACTCACAATAGTGTTCCTTTATTTCTTTGCTGCTATAGAGAGGAATAGTTACTAAACCAAAGAAAATACCAATAATGAAAATTATCTGCAAAATACGGTTATGAGTTGTCAGTAACTGTCAAGTGTGTGTTAATTTGGGCTATAATCTTTACAGGGTTAAAAGCTATTGAAAGAATATTCAAAACAATTAAAATCATTGGCCACCATCAGATGTTGCTAGGGTATCAGTTTCTTTTTTTTTTTTTTTTTTTTTTTTTTTTTTTTTACGTTTTATTTATTTTTGAGACAGGGAGAGACAGAGCATGAACAGGGGAGGGTCAGAGAGAGGGAGACACAGAATCTGAAACAGGCTCCAGGCTCTGAGCTGTCAGCACAGAGCCCGATGCGGGGCTCGAACTCACAGACCGCGAGATCATGACCTGAGCCGAAGTCGGCCACTTAACCGACTGAGCCACCCAGGCGCCCCAAGGGTATCAGTTTCTTATTCTGAAGATGAATAAAGGGAAAGTCTGTAGCATTTTACTCTGCTTTTCTTGTATGAACTGTGTGTTAGGTGGCCAAAGAATAACTAAGATTAGAAAGTTCTTTAGGAAAATTAGATCTTAAAAGTTTTCACAAGAAAAAAAAAATTGTAGCTGTGGGTAATGAAACCTGTTAACTAGACTTAGGGTGGTGATCATTTTTCAGTGTACAGGAGTATCAAATTACTTGTGCTCCTGGAAATATGTTCTATGTCCATTACACCTCAACAGAAAAGAGAGAGAACAGACAGAATTATCCTGGTAAAGAGTAAATGTTAGTAGGGGAGATCGCCTATAGGTAGATGCATAGTTCCTGTCTTGGAAAAATAACCACCTGCCTCTCTGCGCAAAAGTTTATTTTCTTAATTTGCTTTCTTATAAACATGAGTTTAGAGTTAACTTTTGAGAACATAATACATTCAAATATGCTTCAATAATGATCTATTTAAGTGGGTTCCAGTAAGAATCAGGAAGTATAGAAAATAATTTAGCATTAACATTTCTGAATTAACATTTCTGATATTGGTAAAAAATTTTAATTTTTTTGCATGAGGTGCGTATAAATGGTGCTTTTGTAATTAAGGATTCCAAATAGAAATTTCTACTTGTGATTTCACATATTATAGATATTATTGATATCTCAACTGTTAGATGTTGGTGTAGGCTCCATAGCATTCCTGCTTGATGGGTAATCTTACCACGATTGAAAGGTTGACACTCCCAACTACGTAGCACATATACAGCCTCAATAGAGAAAGGAAAAAAAAGAATTCCTGCTAATAGATACAGAAGAAATAAATGATGGACTTTTTAAAATATCAATTTGGAAGTCTTAATCTAGACAGGTGTAACTCTTAGGTATAAAAGCCATTAGATTATAGGTTCATGGGAAATTTTATAATGCAGAGATCTGACTGACCCCATGGGTGTAAAAATGGGACAGTCATTGTGTTTCTCCTGGTGTGATGCAAGAGAAAGTATATAACAATACCAATAAAGAATTCTTGTCTAAAAAAATAGAACCAGAATTAAATTCAGCTTCTAGATCTAACAGTGTATGGAATTGGGGAAATAAGAGAAACTTAAGTGACACAGTGTGGAGATAGTCAGCCAGGAAGTAATTGGGTCAAATCCAACAAATCAATTACATGAGAAAAGGGAAAAACGTGGGAGAAGAAGTGATCATTACAGAACAAAGTAAGATGTTTAAAAGATAAAAACCCAATACAAAGTGTAGAGTTTGAGTTCAAATTCAAACAAACCAACTAAAAATACACTCTTGAGGTAATGGGACATTTAAATCCAGACTGGATGTTAGAGGTCCATATCAGTTAGCAATGCATGCTGAAGTATTTTGAGATGAAACAATACAACATCAAAGATGTATTTTAAATTACTCCAGCAAAAGAAAAGCATAAGAAGTTAAGGGGCGGTTGTTAAATGAAATTGAGTGTTGGTACATGGATGTCATTACACTTCTCCTTTTGTGTACATTTGAAAATGTCCATAATAAGTTGAACTGTTGAAAGAAGCAGTGTTTCTTTCTTTGCAAAAATCCTTATTCAGCAGTAATATTAATTGACTCATTTGACTGTAAAATACTTAGTTGTTGCTGTTAAAACATTTCACTGATGAAGTCAAAAAAAAGAAAAAAAAAACAGTAAATAAAACCTGTAGAGCACCTGTATACTTTTCGGAATTGGGAATATAGAGTTTACACAGTATTAGTGTAATCATTTTTATTCTTGTAATGAAGTTAAGCTGAGTATTGAATAGGATGGTTATTAAAAATTCTATGATTCATCGTGATCTTGTAAGCTTTGTGGGAGCAGATGATTTTATCTGTTCACTACTTGATCCTCAACTCTTAGAACAGAGGCTAACACATAGTAGGTGCTCAGTAAATATTTATTGAATCAGTGAATAGGCATTCTTACAACTTGACCATTTTGTAAACTACAAATTACTGAATTTCCATTAATAATTTCATTATGCTGTCAAGTTTCTGAAGTCTGCAAAGTTGTGACGTGAAATACTGTGTTTTATGGTAGTACATAGAGTTCCAAGGAATATTTCTAGATTAAGAAATATGTATGATTTGAAAAACTTAAATCTGGTACTGACATATGTTATACATTTTAGGAAGATAAACTCTTGCTTGAGAGCCAACTGATCCTAGCTACAGCTGAACCACTGTGTCTTGATCCTTCTATAGCAGTAACCTGTACTGCAAATAGACTGCTTTATAACAAGCAAAAGATGAACACGCGCCCGATGAAACGGTAATTGCCTTTGTAGATGGGTAAACCAAAAGATGCTCCTAGACAATTAGCTTTAAATTTTGCTATTTATGGGGGCACCTGGGTGGCTCAGTCAATTAAGTGTCCAACTTCGATTCAGGTCATAATCTCGTGGCTCGTGGGTTTGAGCCCTGTGTTGGGCTCTGTGCTGACAGCTCACAGCCTGAGCCTGCTTCGGATTCTGTGTGTGTCTCTCTCTGCTCCTCCCCCATTCACACCCTGTCTCTCTCTCTCTCTCTCTGTCTGTCTCTCCTTCAAAAATAAACAAACATTAAAATAAATACATTAATTTAAAAAAAAAAATTTGCTGTTTATGGTATCTTTTCTCTCTAAAGTATATATATAAGTACTGTGACTTTTTTTTAAATAGGATTTTTATGGCCTTAAGTTACATTTTTTGTGCATTACTGTTTTTAACTATTGTCTGCTTTATATGGGAGTGATGCATTCTCTGCATTTTGTGAAAGGACACGCTTCCTGTAAGTTTAGAGTCTTTACCAAAAACAGGCTGAGAAGACACAAGTATAAACAGAATAATTTCTTTATTCCTAATTGCCAGTAACCTGTTTTGTTAATATTGCTTTTAAAGAAACAATTCATAATTTATTTTTGATATCTGATAAAATACCAGTTTGTGATTAAATACCTTTTTATAACGTGGTAATTTGTTCTTTACATGTTTTAGCTATCTTTTCTACTTAATAAAAGAATGCATATTAACTTGGATCACAGTTATAATTGGTTCATCATTAGGTACTCTTAACAATTGTTTGAGTTGCCCATTTTGGGTCATCTTAAGAGTTCAAAAACATACCCATTTTCTAAACTCCTTAGTTTACTACGTAAACAATATATGCTAAGGAAAAGGTACAGTTTCAGAAATAGTAAAATAAGTCTATATAAGATCTGTCAGCAGTTCTCTAAAGTCTCCTTGTATCTTCAAATCTCCATGCCCCACTACCAAATTTTAAAGTCGGCATTATCTTGACTTCTGTAGTAAATTTCTATTTGATCTTCCTGTTACCACCTTTGCTCCCTTTTGGTCCGTTTGCCACATAAGCAAATTGGAATAATCTTTTAAAAACTTCAAAGCAGATTATGCCACCACTTACTTAAATTTCCATAAAAGCGTCCCATTGTACTTCACATTAAATCTAAACACATTACCATTGATCTGCAAGACCCCTGCTTCACTCTCTGACCTCATCTATTATGTGTACCCTCATGCTCTAATCATACCTATTTCTGTTTTTAAAACAAAGTTTTTAATTTTTTTTTTTTTTAATTTTTCTCTCTGTTTCAAATACTTATTCCCTGATCTTACGGTATCTGGTTCTTTCTTGCCATTTATGTCTCAGCTCACACATCATTTCTTCAAAGAGTCTAGTCCTTCCTTTCTCTTAACCTGCTGCTGCGCTCTGCTCTCTATCACTGACTCACTGCAGTATCCCGTCTTCTTTTTTTCTTTTTTTTCCCCCCTCCTGACCAATGCTCTCTGAAATTATCTGTTTAATTGTGAATGTCTTTTTCCTCTGGACTATCAGCTCCATGGTAGCAGGAATTTTGTCTTGTTCATTTTTATTTTGCCAGTGCCTGGGACTCTGTTTGATAAGTGATAGTGGTGATTTAATTATATTTTAATGCTTACTGATTTAAACCCAGATTTATTCTGAGTTTCTTTTATTTTCAACTCTTTATATTTCAGGTGTTTCAAGAGGTATTCCAGGTCGTCTCTGAATCGGCAGCAGGATCTCTCTCATTGTCCACCTCCGCCTCAGCTAAAATTACTTGATTTCTTACAAAAAAGGAAGGAAAGAAAAGCAGGTCAACATTATGACCTCAAGATTTCTAAAGCAGGAAATGTAAGTGTGTTTTTTAAATGAAGCTTATTATTTCAAAAACCTTGCTCATTTTGAATTTTTCAGCATTTTAATACTGTTTTTAATTTTTCAGTGTGTAGATATGTGGAAACGGAGTCCCTGTAATTTGGCCATACCTTCCGAAGTGGATGTAAGTCAGTTCATGAATTGCATTTATTTTCATACAAGATTCTTAAGTTTAATAGCAACTGATACTTTGGAAAAACAAAGACTCTTACTTGTTTTAAAAACAAAATAATGATTTTTTAACCAATTGCTCATTTTTAGAATATTTTAGAATATTTCACATTAACGTGTAAGAATGTAGCCCCTTAATACGTTCTGTGTATTGCTGTAGAAGGCCTGTGTTTAAAAACCAAAGAATTGTTGGGGCGCCTGGGTGGCGCAGTCGGTTAAGCGTCCGACTTCAGCCAGGTCACGATCTTGCGGTCCGTGAGTTCGAGCCCCGCGTCAGGCTCTGGGCTGATGGCTCAGAGCCTGGAGCCTGTTTCTGATTCTGTCTCCTTCTCTCTCTGCCCCTCCCCCGTTCATGCTCTGTCTCTGTCCCAAAAATAAATAAAAACGTTGAAAAAAAAATTTTTAAAAAATAAATAAATAAATAAAAACCAAAGAATTTTGAACCATGGGAAAAGTGCAATAATATGCATTTAATATGTCTTTTTTCATAATACTTCATTATAATTTCCTGATAATGCTCCTTTTCTCAAATTGGTTAAATTTAAAAATTAATATTGGAGAAGTGGTCAAATTAGGAACTTTGGATGGTGTTCTCTACTGATCCATAATAACCATGAACTATTAATGGTAAAAAACATGGAAAAGATCTTTTGATGACTGGTCTCATATTTTTCACTTTCCTATTTCTCCTGTGTTACTTTTTGTTATTCACTCAATTTTACAATTGGTTAGTTATTTTTTTTTATTTTTTATTTTTATTTTTTTAATTGAATTTTATTTTTTAAACTTACATCCAAGTTAGCATATAGTGTAACAGTGATTTCAGGGGTAGATTCCTTAATGCCCCTTACCCATTTAGCCCATCCCCCCTCCCACAATCCCTCCAGTAATCCTGTGTTTGTTCTCTATATTTAAGAGTGTCTTATGTGTCATTCCTCTCCCTGTTTTTATATTTTGCTTCCTTTCCCTTGTGTTCATCTGTTCTGTGTCTTTAAAGTCCTCGTATGAGTGAAGTCATATGATATTTGTCTTTCTCTAATACTGCTTAGCATAATACCCTCTAGTTCCGTCCACATAGTTGCAAATGGCAAGATTTCATTTTTTTTTTTGTTTGCTGAGTAATACTCCATTGTGTATATATACCACATTTTCTTTATTCAGTCATCCATCGATGGACATTTGGGCTCTTTCCATAGTTTGACTATTGTTGATAGTGCTGCTATACACATTGGGGTGCATGTGTCCCTTCAAAACAGCATACCTGTATCCCTTGGATAAATACCTAGTAGTGCAATTGCTGGATTGTAGGGTAGTTCTATTTTTAATTTTTTGAGGAACCTCTATACTGTTTTCCATGGTGGCTGCACCAGCTAGCATTCCCACCAACAATGCAAAAGAGATTCTCTTCACATCCTCGCCAACGTCTGTTGTTGTCTGAGTTAATGTTAGCCATTCTGACAGGTGTGAGGTGGTATTTCATTGTGGTTTTGATTTATATTTCCCTGATGGTGAGTGATGTTGAGCATTTTTTCATGTGTCAATTGGCCATCTGGATGTCTTCTTAGGAGAAGTGTCTGTTCATGTCTTTTGCCCATTTCTTCACTGGATTATTTGTTTTTTGGGGGTTGAGTTTCATAAGTTCTTTATAGATTTTGGGTACTAACCCTTTATCTGATAATGTCGTTTGCAAATATCTTCTCTCATGCTATCGGTTGCCTTTTAATTTTGCTGATTGTTTCCTTGGCTGTGCAGAAGCTTTTTATTTTGATGAGGTCCCAGTAGTTCACTTTTGTTTTTGTTTCCCTTGCCTCCGGAGACGTGTTGAGTAAGAAGTTGCTGTGGCCACGATGAAAGAGGTTTTTGCCTGCTTTCTCCTCAAGAATTCTGATGGCTTCTTGTCTTACAATTAGGTTTTTCATCCATTTTGAGTTTATTTTTGTGTACGGTGTAAGAAAGTGGTCCAGGTTCATTCTTCTGCATGTTGCTGTCCAGTTTTCCCAGCACCACTTGCTCAAGAGACTGTCTTTATTCCATTGGATATTCTTTCCTGCTTTGTCAAAGATTAGTTGGCCATGTGTTTGTGGGTCCATATCTGGGTTCTCTATTCTGTTCCATTGATCTGAATGTCTGTTCTTGGGTCAGTACCATACTGTCTTGATGATTACAGCTTCTTAATACAGTTTGAAGCCCAAGATTGTGATGCCTCCTGCTTTGGTTTGCTTTTTCAAGGTTGCTTTGGCTATTCAGGGTCTTTTCTGGTTCCACAATTGGTTAGTTATTTTAATAGGTGTTTATTTTTTTTCTGTATCCTTCATAGGCTGGCACATGTACTATTGTTATATTTTTTAGATTAGAAGAAAAATTTGTGGAAAACACAAAGCCAAAACCATCAGAATTGCACTATACAACTCAAGGGAATAAGCCACGTTATTTTTTGATAACTTCTGTGTTTTCTGACGGAATGCTGCTTGAGAAGAGATGTTAGTGTAAATCCCAAAAGGTGGAATTTAGCTTTGAAGGGTAGATTGGATATCTAAAGCAGTGCTTCTCAAACTTTAATATACATCCTAGTCACCTGGCTTGCTTGTTAAAATGCAGATTTTAATTCAGCAGGTATGGGCTAGCGCCTGAGATGCTGCAGTTTTGCCAGGCTCCCAAGTTGCATGATAACTGGGGTCCACAGCCTACTTTGAGTAACAAAACCCTAATACAAAGCTTTTCAGTCGGAATCCATCAGAAGACTCATCTAGAATACCAGTGAAATATAGATTTCAGGCTCCACTTCAGACTTTCCAGGGGAGTCAGGTCTTCAGGGGAAGGACATGGAAATCTGAAATTTTACCAAGTTCCCAGGGGAGTCTGATTTACTCTTAAGATCATGGTTGCCAGTAAAATGAGTATATTTGATTCACACAGAGTAGTAGGAGATAATACAGAGTATACGGTCATTATCTTACTAGAAAATGGAAAAGGTTCACAAAAATCTTACCAACTTTAATACATAACTTCCCTAGTCTTCCTCCAGTGTTGTCCCCACTGTTACATGACAACTCCTGTTTCCTTCAAGTCCAGCAAAGGAAAAGATCCTGGTCCTGATCTCTCTGACATTCCAACTTTGCTAAAGGATGACTGTGATACCAATTTATGGAATAAAAAGAAGAGGCACTGTCCAAAAAAGCAGCTGTGTTTGTTACACCTATTTAATGACAAAAGAGATTCTGATTTTGTTTTGTTTTTAAAACCAGTTGGTCAAGCTTAACGAATCAGGAGAGTTTTGAACCAAGCATAAATAGTTGGTGACATTAGCGAGTCAGGAATTTTTGTGCTTGAAATTATATTGTTGAGTTACTTAGGTTTTTCTCTTTTCATCACAATACTGATTCCATTACATCTGCTGTCTATTGATTTGATTGTTTAGGTGGAGAAATACGCTAAAGTGGAAAAGTCCATCAAATCCGATGACTCACAACCAACAGTCTGGCCAGCCCATGTAAGTAATCACTACAGCAGTCTCCTTTCTAATAAAGCAGTTTCTAATCTGGGATCTGAATTTATTAAACATGAAGTGCCCAGGATTTTTTTTTTTTAATTTAAAGGACGTATTGGGGGTTTAGTGAATTAAAGGAAAAAACAGGTGTTTTGTTTTTCATAAAGTATGGTTTCCATTATAAAGGGCAATTTTAATGTAATACTGCATTTTTACTTCTCTTTTGGTTGCATAATGAAGTTTTATCTTTTTAGTATTTAGTATTTGCATTCATATGTCCATATGAAATTCTCTCATATTTCACTTGGGCTTGGTTAACTATTTGGAACTCTTCATTCTTAAAGTGCTATGTAAAAAAGAGTCCTAGTCTTTATTCTCTCAGAAGTGTTAAATAGGTCTATAACCAAAATGCTGTGTCTTCTTATTGCCCAATACAAGTTAATATGTCGTTTATTTTGTTAATTTTGATTATGTATTTACTGAAGAAGGTGCTTATCTGGGGTGTTCTGTCTTTTTCAGGATGTAAAAGATGATTATGTATTTGAATGTGAAGCTGGTAATCAGTATCAGAAAACAAAGCTGACCATTTTGCAGTCACTTGGTGATCCACTTTACTATGGCAAAATACAGCCATGTAAAGAAGATGAAGAAAATGACAGCCAGATGTCTCCATCCCAGTGAGTTCTGTTAAATACATGTAATTGACAAAATTAGGCATCAGAATTTATTCAGCAACTACTGATGAACCATTAATGAATAAAAGTTTCCCTTTGAGGATTCATTTGTTAGTTAAGTACTCCAGTTAGATTTGTGAGTGGACATAAGTAAACCTAAATTACAGTTACCATGTTGTCCAAGAGTTATTTAAAATAATAATGATATATTTTTAAAAATCTGTGGTATAAATATTTTCATACTTGCTTTGAACGGTATGCCATTGATACCCCTCTTACTCATTATGACTTCTTCCTGGGAGCATGAAGTTTTTCCAAGAAGTAGTTTGTTTAAGTAGGAAGCAAGTTCACTATAAATGATGAAGCTATTAAAGATACTTGGTATTGTGGTACTGCATGTAAGGACAAAGACTCTGCGCTTAGTGTAGTTATTGGCTCTAGAAATCTCTATATATTTATATTAATTTGATGTATATATCTAGTGTTTATGTGTCTATACATACATGTACATATATATATTTGATTTTCCAAAACTTACGGGCTACATATATTTAGTACAAGCTAATAGTAGTTACTTTTGTTTTTATTGTTAGTTTGTTAGTTTTTCAATGAAGTTGATACTGTTTCAAATAGAAGAAACTACAAAGAAGAGGAGCTCAACAGGAAAAAAAGCAGGGGCCAGGCCTATGTTAAATTGTTTATAAAGTCTTTGCTTTTAACACAAGATACTAATTGAAACTATAACAGAAAGATGAATTATAAAGAACAACCTCACCAGTATCTAAATAAAAGTCAATGGGAAGAAATAGTTTGCTACGGAATCGTTAGGTAATTTTTCACATTAGCAGTTTCTTTCGTTGAATACTATGTAGAAAGGTCACATGTTTTGATTACCTGTATTTTAAAAAATCTTCCCCTTAAAGACACATTGGTCATTTTAAATTATTAACTTTTCTCAAACACAAGAAAATAATAGATACTCTTTTTTTCAATTAAAAAAAAATCAGTTCAAAACCCAACTGATTAAATCTAACAAGAATTGAATTTTTTGCCTTTATGTCAGGGAGTTGCTGCAAAAATGCTGCATGATTTATTACTTCCAGTCATTCCTCCATATTCATAAATTACTTGAGTTAATAACTATGAAATTAAAGTTTGAGCTGCATTAACCAAGTTTTTTCTTTTTTTTACATTTTATATTTCAGCTCCTCCACAGATGACCATTCAAATTGGTAATTAAAAAATAAACAAACTCACTACTTTAATCTGTTAAGAAATCATATAAATGTCAAATTTTTTAAAAGGATTTGGTAAAGACATTTTATTGAATTGGCAATAAACTACCTTCCTTGTCTAAAATCTCTTCTAAGATCTGCTCTGTAGACATTAATAATGACGAAAATCAAAGGTTAAAGTGAGAGGAAGGCCAAAGGCCTTGCACACAGCAGTCCAGTGAATTGTACTGTAGGGCAGACACTTGCAAGGATGTATAGTATTTGGTAACTTTCAGCCCAGATTTTGTTTTGACACATAAGTTTTGTGCAAAACTACATCTCCCTTAAATTAAATCAACCAAATTATTCACAGGATTATTTTATAATGCATGCAAAACTTGGTCATTGCTTCATAAGTTTAAATGTATTTAAAAATATTTTTTTTTTTTGGAGTATCTCAGTAGATTTGACTCCTTTTATAAAACTACAATCACTAAAATATGGAAGCCTTCAAAAGTAATCCCAGGGCTCTTTAACACTACTCTTAACCTAATACTTTTCTCTTTCTTAAACATTTCAGGTTTATTATTGGATCAAAGACTGATGCTGAGAGGTAAAAATACTTGATTTGTGTCTTTATCTTTAATCTGGATGGATATGAAAAACTTCATTTTTATAGGATAAGGGAGTACTCCGCTAGGAGTCACAACTTTTTTGTTATACCTTAGCTATTACTAGGATTTTTTTTATAGAATTAGGAAAAAAAGGATTTTGTTTAATTAATGTTTAAAAGAATAATGTTTAAAATATAGTTTATTTTAAATAAGTAAATACATATCTGTGGTAGCTAAGGAAGACAATTCCTAAAATAGTACTTTAATCAGAATGTGGGTAAAAGGTAATGGGTAATTTCTTTGTCTGCTTATTGGTTAAGTAATCTGTGCAATATCTGTATTAAAAGGAAGATGTGTATGTTTATGTTTCAATTGTTAATTAGCAAAATGTTTTGAGCATTAGCTTGTCATTGAAAAGATTAAAAGAATATACTTCTGGCACACAGTTAAATTGTCTAATTTGAGGTTTTTGTGTTAATTTTGATGGAAATTCTTTTATTAGTAGTTATTATTTATTGCCTGTAAATTTATGTTTAAAACAGTTAACTAATCCTTACTTGTTTACTCCTGATATTCCAGGGTAGTCAATCAGTACCAGGAGTTGGTCCAGAATGAAGCCAAATGTCCAGTCAAAATGTCACACAGTTCCAGTGGCTCAGCCAGCTTAAGTCAGCTTTCTCCAGGGAAAGAAACAGAAGTGTGTTTGATTACTTTTATGCACCTAATTTTTTGCACTGCTACTTTTTTGTGCCTAATCGTTAATCAAGGAATATAAGAAATGTTAAGGACTATTTTTTGAGGGATGGGGGTGTTATTTACTATGTAACTTTATATAATGGAAATTTTCAAATATACACAAAAGTAGAGAGAAAAGTATAATGAACACCTGTATATACTAATCACCCGGCCTCAACAATTATTATTTTCCTGAAAAAGATTTAAGAATGGAAGCTTTGCCTTCAGTATACCTTTCTGCCCTTCTCCCTCAAAGTCTTTGTCTCCACCTACTTAGAAATCTTTCCTTCATCCTGTATGTATACTGTAATTTATCTCATGGATAGCCTTATGCAAAATTATATTTTTTTGTAATGCTTATAATACCCAACCTATAACACTAAGCGTACTTTGCAGAGTTTTAAATTGTGTGTTCTCATCTAGAAGCTGTGGTGGGATTAGTTTATGAATTTCTGATTTGAACTTAATTTTAACAAGTATATTTAATGTCCCTGTTTCTCAGCAGCCCGAGACTGTGTCAGTTCAGTCTTCAGTTTTGGGGAAGGGAGTAAAACACCGACCTCCACCCATCAAACTCCCCTCGAGCTCAGGAAGTAGTTCTTCAGGTATCACATTCTTTACTTTTCTCTCATCTTGAGTAAGAAACGTCATAGAGTCATTATCTATTTTTTAAACTTTACTCATATTTTGACATAACGCACAGAATTTTGAATTATAAGTGTGGAAAATAACTTTTGTATTCTTCTAGGTAACTATTTTACACCGCAACAGGCCAGCAGCTTTCTTAAATCTCCAACTCCTCCTCCTGCTTCCAAGCCACCAAGTCTTTCTCGGAAGTCATCTGTGGATCTCAATCAAGTCAGCATGCTTTCTCCAGCTGCCTTGTCACCTGCCAGTTCATCACAAAGTGAGTTATAACTTAAATACTTCATTAGCTTTTTGCATTAGCGTTTCTTAAAAGTTATTTTTTTTTGACCAGTAAAATACTGAAATCTGAATGTACTATGTACCCAAAATGTATAAGTTTTTAGAAGCTTCAGGCAGATCTCGTTGATTGTATGTATTATGTGTTTATTGTAATTGTATTTGTTTTTCTGTATCTATGTATGCACTGTGTGTATACCTTACAGAGTTGCAACCTACACATCTCCTTAAAAAAAATCTGTTAAATGTGGCAATAAGATTCCAAAATATTTTTTATTCCAGTGTACCCTAGGATCATGTTACATTTTATGTAAACTATGTAGCTGATATGGAAAAAAATGTCATAAGAGTTGTTGCTGCAGTCCTATCTTTGTATATGTAAAAAACCAACTAGTTCCAAGGTGGTGATAAAATAAACTGAAAACCGATTTTTCAAAAACACTCCTACACTCTTAAAAATTGTAATCAGTTACTAAAATGTGGTAATGATCATAAAGCATTCTGAAAATATTAAAATGTAATTTTTACTACTGAATACTTTTTTTTTTAACATCAAGAATTATGCAAGAATTCTAGCATTCAGTTGGGAGAATTTCTTCATATTAGAGATTTCTGAGATATTTAGGTACCAATTTGCAAAAAAGCATTCCAGTTTTTTAGATTTTTTTGTAGATAACTAAAGTGTGCTGAAAGTTTTAATACACTGCACAGTGATAGGGTAGTCTTCGCCTTAGATATAAACATCTTCATCTTGATAGCTCAAAAGGTGTAATTTTTCTGCCTTCTTGTTTTGCACAAAGAAAAATTTATAAATTTCCTGGAAGTCTTATTCACACTTCTTATGTTGTGGGTATGGATTATGTTAATCTACTGCACACAGTTGTTACTTTAAGTAAGGGTTGAGTGACAGCTTCTGGACATTCACATTTCTTTCCTTTCTTTCTGCAGGACATGAAAGCTAAAAAAGAAAACACCTCAAGAGCTTTTGGTTTTATTTTTTTGGTTTTTGTTTTTTGTTTTTGTTTTTTTTTAAAAAGTTGATAAACTGTGCATACTTCATTCACAACAGATTTTCTATACATTCTTACATTTAAACAGAAGTACACAGTTACTGTTAAAGATGCAGTATTATCTATCAAATATTTGCTTTTATAACTGTGTTTTGTAAATTTGTTTGTCAGGATAAACTTGATGTGTTAGGAATTAAACATGTATATTTAGGTGCCAAATATGATTGTTAACCATATGTAATTTATTAAATATGTTCAGAGTTTATCTCAGACTGTTACAGAAAATAAGCAATATTTTTAAAATGAAGTTCTAAATTAGTGAAATCGTAAATAACAAAAAATAATTTGAATTCCTCTTAAACTTTTTAGGCCAAAGGTAGCATGTAGGAAATTAACTTTCAAATGGGTATTGTGGTAGAATACAAATGTATATTTTTACTGTTACTGTAATAGCATCTTTGATGGAATTGCTAGGTGATATACTGCATCCTTAATTGTAATTGAGTGTAGCAACACTCATGTATCATGTGTAGAAATTAACACTTGCAGTTAACTGCTTAAAAAAAAACTGGAACAAATTGTCAGTGCTAAGTAAGATTCCATTAACCTTATTTTAAAAAAGGACTGGCCATTTATAACAAACTAGCAATTTTTATTTTTCTCAATGAGCAGGATCTGGAACTCCTAAGCCATCTACTCCTACACCAACCCCTTCATCGACCCCACACCCTCCTGATGCTCAGAGCTCAACTCCTATTACCCCTTCAGCCACCCCTACTCCCCAAGATTCAGGCTTCACCCCTCAGCCCACTTTGTTAACTCAGTTTGCTCAGCAGCAAAGGTCTCTGAGCCAGGCAATGCCTGTAACGACCATTCCTCTTTCCACCATGGTAACATCCATAACTACAGGAACCACGGCCACCCAGGTCATGGCAAACTCTGCTGGACTTAACTTCATCAATGTAGTGGGCTCTGTTTGGTAAGTTTGCACTGATGCTCTGAATTTTTTTTTAAAGATACTGTCACTGATCTAAATAAATTCTTGTGAAATTAATAACAAATTGCATATATCTGTAACTGAAAAACAGTTTAGATTTGAGTAGAAGCTATCTCAACAAGAATGTTTTTATTTTAGGTAATGCATGTATTAGTGCACTAACATGATACTACTTCGTATTGACCGCAGCATAGATTGTCCTGTTTATTCTCAGTGTTACCACCTTTTAATCCTTTAATTAATGTTTTACTCTTCCAAATTATATCTTAAACCTTGGTAAATATACGGTGCTTAGTTTTTAGATAATCTTACTGTCACTGTCTACCATAAAAATGAAACTGAGCCCCAAAGCTGATGTTTAAGACCAGAAGTAGCTACTTGTGTTTGTTTAGTAGTTTGTTTTTTAATCCAAAGAATTACTGTGTAGTTGAGTTTTTCTTTTGTAGTGCAAGTTTAATGCTTTGTCTTATTCTCCCACAGTGGAGCCCAGGCTTTGATGAGTGGTTCAAACCCTATGCTGGGCTGTAACACTGGTGCCATAACTCCTGCAGGAATAAACCTGAGTGGCCTTCTACCCTCAGGAGGTCTGCTACCAAATGCATTGCCCGGTGCAATGCAGGCAGCTTCTCAAGCAGGTCAGAATATTGGAAATAATAATCTCTAAAAAAATTAAAGTATATGCTAATATAAAAATGTCATTATAAGCATATTGTATACACTTAATGTGCTTATTTCTTGAAGCATTATGTCGCAGATATTTCATTTTAAAAGCCCTTGAAGTTCTGATATTTGAATTAAAAACCATTTAACAATTCTGTGAAAAACATGGTAAGTTTCTACAAACTCGATCTGCCTTCCAAACATAATAAATTAACTGGTTGCCTTATTGTCAGTGTAGTCCTATTCCAGGTAAAAGAAGTACATTTTGCAAACTAGGTTGCGTGAGAAAGGCAACAGGGAATGGCAATAAAAAGCCCAGCTTCTGGAGCCAGACTGCCTGAGTTTGAATTGCAGTTGTGCAGTTTACTAACAGTGTAATCATGGGAAAGTCACCTCACTTTCCTTCTTAATAAAATGGGGAATAATTATTAATGCCTTGCCTCAGACTTGTGAAGATTAAATGAGTCGATACAGATGATGGACTTAAACTGCCTGAAACACATAAGCATTCAAAAATATTTTTTGTCCTCATCATACTTAGTAATAGTTTTATTTCAGCAGTAGTTATTGCTATTAAATGTCCTGGGAAACAGTTGTAACGACTTACAGTATTTTTTTTTAATTTTGAAATTATTTAATTTTGAGAGGGAGAGAACATGCAGGGGTGCAAGTTGGGGAGGGGGGAGGGGAGAAGGGGTGGGCAGTATCCAAAGGTGGCTCTGCGCTGACAGCAGTGAGCCCGAGGCGGGGCTCAAACTCATGAACCATGAGATCATGACCTGAGCCAAAGTAGGACGCTCAACTGAGCCACCCAGGTGTCCCAAGTACTAATTTTTAGTGCTGTTTAAAAGAACATGTTGTAGTATCTTGGAACAATCCAGTTTCTTACTGCTGACAAAAAATTTAGCAGGAAAAACAAACTTAAGAAAATTTTATTCTGAGTTGAGAAGTCAAACCCAAAGAATATAAACAAGGTGACATATACTGCTCTGATTTCCTAATTCTAGCTCGTGATTTCATTTTAATGTTCATAAATGTTTCTTTAGTGGCAGAAGCCCTGGAAATGGAATCAAATGTTGAAATTAGGACGTTTATATTTACATATACTTCTACCAGTTAGTTACACGTGGCTCCAGATGTTAACCATGGGGCCTGAAGTCACTTGTCTCCCTCAGTTTCATTGCTCTAAAATGGGAGTAAAAATATCTAACTTCAGATGGTACTTAAGAGAAATTAATGAAGTGATCTGAAAGTGCCTTTGGTAAGCTATTAAGCATTATACAGAGGTGATCCATTTTTAAAAGAAGTTATGTCTTTTCATGAGAATCTATAGTATATCAATACTGTAATATTTTAGAGTGATTATGCACCTTCATTTTCTTATACAAGGCTTTGATACTATTGCCTGTGAATGTCCTGCCTCATGTCTTTTTTTAATGCAATTGTCTGCTTTAGAGGACTAGATACATTTTAATGAGTGTTCAATTTGGTATATTTTGTTAGCAGAATGTACACATACTTTGAGAGCATATGTGGCCCACAAAGCCTACTGAAAAAGTTTGCCAATCCCTGCTTTATAATCTGTTCTGTGTTGCCTCACAGATTTTTGAGAATAAATTCAGAATAGCAGAACATTGTTTCCTGACTTTCAGTTTTGAGCCTTATACACAAAATTCAGTGTTCTTTAACCTTATTAATATTACCATTTATACTTGAAAAAAAATAGCATTTGGGTTCTCAAAGATAGGATTATTACTGTATATACGATACTTAGCATGAAAGGATTTAAATATATGTCAATACCTGAAATGTTTTTCTGTAACAGTGATAGTTTTATTACGCAATAGTTACTACTTTCTCCAGCCAAAAGTCAAAACAGTAATAAGGAAGTTATCATTTGTGAAACGATAGACTACAGAAATGCCTCGCTTTATTGCATTTTGCAGATACTGCATTTTCTTTTACAAATTGAAGGTTTGTGGCAACCCTGCATTAAGCAAAGCTGTTGATGCCATTTTTCCAACAGCATTTGTTCATTTCATACCTCTTGGTCACATTTTGGTAATTCTTGAAATATTTCAAGTCTTTTCATTATTAATTGCATTTGTTACAGTCATCTGCCATCAATATGACTCATTGAAAGCTTGGCTGATATATTTTTCGCAAAATATTTTAATTAAGGTTTGCACCTTGTGTTTTTAGACACAATGCTGTTGCCCACTTAATAGACTATAATATCAACATAACTTATATTCACTGGGAAATCAGAAAATTCATTTAACTTGATCTAATGCAATATTTGCTATTGCAGTTTTGCTTCCAGACTACTGCAGTGGTCTGGAATTGAACCCCCAATATGTCAGAGTTATGCCTATAAAATGTACATGTGGTGCTCCATAGTGGTGAATTTTTTTGTTGTTTTCTAACATATTTTGAAACTATAGAAACAATAACCACATCTATGCAGAAAGTACTTAAAATGTTATATTCCTATACACTAACATATAAAATATTTTGAAGTGTAATAAAATTTTAATCCCCTGTTCTAACCATGAGTTTCATTTAACAGGTGTTCCATTTGGTTTAAAAAATACTTCAAATCTCAGGCCCTTAAATCTACTCCAGGTAAATGTGAAACACTTTTTGATTGAAGCTTGTATACTTTATATCTTTTTTAATGATGTATGTCTGATCATATGAGCATTTGAAATTTTGAAGTCCGTTTGAAATCTTCTAAGGGTGTGGTTAATTGTTGCTCTTTTTGTATGATCACATGGAAAGTGTGTAAGGAGAAAGAATCTGTATCCTGTATACCCTGCTCACTGGTTCCAGCACCCTGCCTAGTCAACTACCAAGGACTACACTTGCCTACAATAGCAGTAATCAATATACTTAGAAAATAATTCCTCTCTCAACAGACATTTTATGTGTACATTGTATGTACGACTGTTTGTTTGAAGAGAGATTTTAAAATAGCTATTTGTTCTTTCCTAAGTAGAATATGATTGTTTAGCACAGTGCCAGGCACTTAATAGTCATTCAATAAATGTGTGTCAGATTAGTTTGTGTCTAATGATGAGGCGTTATACTTACATGTTGTCAATGTCAACATATAGATATTGAAAGTGGAGAATTTAGTACACGTTGTGAACTTAGAATATTCTGGGTGTTACGCTAAGTACTTGAAGGATGAAGTCCAATATAAAGCTACCAGGTTGGAAAATCAATAGGATTATCTACAGAGAATTTTAGATTTAGATTCTAAATGTCTAGACACAAAATGGCGGAGTTTTGGATTTTTGGGAAATAAGAGAACCAGACAAATCAACCCAACCTGGTATTCAGGAATAAGAAACAAATCAGGAAATGTATTTTAAGCCAAAACTTAAAAAAATATTTCTTACACAAGATGCAGACAGTGTATTTACAGAATGTAATCACATTGGTTTATTTAGCCAGCTTTCCTGCCTGCATATTCCTTAATAGCACTAATAATAAGGAACAAGGCCACTTTATACGTTAATTATGTTTTGCTACATTTATTACCTGACATAGGAAGGAACAGTTGGCTTAGGCTATGTTCAAATTTCCAAATTTGTCTAACGATGAGCTGTACTGGGTTTAGAGATTTTGACTTACACATTTTGTTTTGTTTTGTTTTGTTTTTTGACTATGCAGATCTAACAGTTCTATAGTTGGGTATTTATTTGCTCAGACTTTCTCATAAGGACTTCAGTGTGCTTACACAGTAGTCCCCCATTATCCACAGGAGATAATGTTTCAAGACCCCCAGTAGATCCCTAAAACATGGATAGTACCAAAACCCTGTATATATTATTTTTTCTAATACATCGTACTGTTAACCTTAAAGATAAAACTGTCAGGTATTTTACCAACAAAATGGGTTTATTTGGGAATAACAGAAAATTGCTATTTGGGTCAAGCAAGCTATGACAAAACCATAGGCAAGTTCAACAGATGAAGGAGAGGAATGTTATTTTATGATGGAGGAGGAAGTTGGAAAGGGTTGTTTTGAATGAAGTCCAAATGAGAAAAGTTCAGGGTAATGACAGCTTCTCATTGGATGAGTTTCAGGGTGGTTAATTTCTTGTAGGAGATGTAGTATGCATCCCAGTAACTGTCACTGATAATTCTTTCCTGTTGAGGATTCTTTTGTTGGGGTCTTATAATTGACAATCTTCCTATAAATGACATTGAGCCTCCTAACTCTAGTTAGGCTTCCCTTTATTTTAACAGTTCCTACAGTGAAGTTTAATTTATGAATTAGACACAGTAAGAGATTAACAGTAACTAATAGAACAGTTACAATAGTACAGCGTACTATTAGTTATGTAAATATGGTTCCTCTCTCAAAATATTTTATTGTACTGTACTCACCCTTCTTGTGATGTGAGATGATAAAATGACTATGTGATGAGATGAAGGGAGGCGAATGACGTAGGCATTGTGACATAGCATTAGGCCACTTTTGACCTGACCATATCAGGAGGCTCATCGGCTTGTGGACTACAGTTGACTGTAGTAACTAAAACCGGGGAAAGCAAAACCATGCATAAACGGGGACTACTATAACTTAAACCCCTATAGAATAAATGGAAAAACTATTTGTTTCCTGATGCATTTGGAAACCATAGTTTTAATTTTTAACATGGAGTTTTCTGGGTGCTTTAACAAGTGCTTTGGGGTGTTTGGTTTGGTTTGTTTTTTGGAGTATTTTAGATAATGTAATGACAGCAGCGAGTAGTACCTCCAAGCTAAAAATATGGGTATCTAATGCACTTCCTTTGCAGCTTTGAAATTCCTTGCTGTGTTACATAAGAATCCATGCATGCTGGGTTTTCATAAAGCTAGAACAAATTAAAGAAGTTTTCTTAATGTGTGTCTCTGATCATCACTAGTTTCCTTTATACTTTGTAGTCATTTGATGCTGTTTTATATTGATGTGTAAGAAGAGTTCAATGTATATTTGGATAGCTAACTATTAACCTGAAGCAGATAAATACATGTTTGAGATTACTTACATATTTGAGAGCCCAAAGCCGTAGCACTTAGAAATTGTTTTTAGATTTTCTTTAAAGGCAGGGATATTGGTTTGGTTTGGTTTGGTTTGGTTTGGTTTGGTTTGGTTTTTGTTCACCTGTTTTCTTCAATCCAGAGAAAAATGCCTGATACACAGTGAATGTTCCAAAAGTATGTATGGAATAAAGAAATTTAAATAATATGAAATCAGCTAATTAGTTCTTCTTTAATAGCTTCCAGGTGGTTCACTCATTTTTAACACTCTGCAGCAGCAGCAACAGCAGCTTTCTCAGTTTACGCCACAGCAGCCTCAGCAGCCCACCACTTCCAGTCCTCAGCAGCCAGGAGAGCAGGTATGTACTTCCTAGCCCTCCATTGGCTTTGTCTTACAGAACTGCCAACTTTTTTTTTTTTGGTATATTTCAGGCATATTTGATGTGCTTTTAGTTTGTTCAAACAAACAGTTCTTATTCTGCTTTTCTTTATTAGCAGTACTAGTGATGAGTTACTGGGTGCCTATTTCAAATCCTCTTTCTGCTCCTATTGCCCATGCACTTTTGCCAGTCATCAATCTTCTGTGTACAGTATTTTTTGTCTCTGTTGGAATAGAGATGTCCCTATTGTTATGAAGCTTAGGGCAGAGGGAAGAGACACACAAATAAATATTTATATGTTGTTAAACAGAATGAGATTGAATAATAGCTGCAGTAAGTTAAATTAGGAGAAACTACATGTTTTTCTGAACCTTTGCTATACTTTGGAATGATCTGGGAACTAAAAATACTGATTTTGGGGTCCTGCCGCCCCAGAGTTTTCTCTTAGTGCACAAAGATTCCCCAGTCAAGTCTTGGTTGGGTAAAAAGCTCATCCTCTAATAGACTCTCAGGAAGGGCACATTCAAAACAATTTTTCTTTATTGTTTAACTCATGAAGGATTACTTGGCTGGATAGAAAAATTGATTTGCATTTGTTTTTTAATTGTGATAAAATACACGTAATACATAATTTGCTGTTTTCAGTCATTTTAAATGCACATCTTAAGTAGTGTGAAGTATACTTACATTGTCACGCACCAGTCTCCAGAGCATTTTCATCTTGCAAAACTGAACCTCTGTGTCCATTAGACAGTAATTCCCTAATTCCCTTCCCGAGTCCTGACAACTACTTTCTGTTTCTCCGTGTTTGACTGCTGTAGACAGTATTTGTCTTTCGGTGACTGGCTTATTTCACTACTGTCATGTCCTCCAGGTTCATCCGTGTTTTAGTGTGTCAGAATTTCTGTACTTTTTAAGGCTGAATAATATTCCATTGTGGAATTCCATTGTGGATATTCCATAGATCTCGAGATATCTGTACACACCCACACACACATTTTGTTTCTTCCATCTGTCAGTGGACACATGAATTGCTTCCATCATTTGGCGGTGATAAATACTGCTGTGAACATGGGTGTACAAATAGCTCTTCAAGTCCTTGCTTTCAGTTCTTGTGGATAATCCCCAGGAGTAGGATTTTTAATTTTTGAGGGACCTGCACACTGTTTTCCATAAGGCTATACGATTTTATATTCTCCACAGCAGTGCACAAAGTTTGTTTCTCCACATTCTAACAGGTTTCAACACTTGTTATTTTCTGGGCTTTTTTAAAATAGTAGCCATCCTAATAGATGTGAGGTAATCTCTCCTTGTGGTTTGTGTTTCCCTAATGATTAGTGTTGTTGAACATCTTTTCATGTATTGTTCTCATCATTTATATATCTTCTTTGGAGAAATGTTTACTCAGCTCCTTTCGCCCATTTTTTAAATCGGGTTTTTTGGGGGTTTTGTTGTTCGTGAGTTACAGAAGTTCTTATTAATCCTTTATCAAGTATATAATTTGCACATACTTTCTTCTACTCCATGGGTCGCTTTTTCACTCTTTTGATTGTCTTTTGATGCCCAGAAGTGTTTAATTTTGATGTAGTCCCCACTTACCTATTTTTACTTTTGCTGCTTGTGCTTTTGGTATGTCATTTTGAAATCTTTGCCAGATCAAGTGTTGTGAAGCTTTTAAGTTTGCTTCTGAGAGTTCTATAGTTTTAATTTGTTGAAAATGCTGCCCAGTGTTCACTTACTTTGTAGGTTTTTGGAAAGTCTGGCACTAGTTACAATTACCTTGCTGTTTGTTGTAAGTTAACTGCAGAATATTGCCTAGAAACCCTGAAAATTTGTTTTTATGTTTAAAGTCTGAAACTGTCAGAATTTATCTTTCCATCCTTTCCTATGGGCCCTTTTAATGTGTATCTTCAGGTCTTTATTTATGGAATAATTTCCTGCATTGTAGTTTTAATTTGCTCCTTTTTTTCCTAGTTTCTTAAGATAGGAGCTTAGATTATTGAGTTGCAGCCTTTCTTTTCTAAAATAAACAGTGTTATAAATTTCTTTCTCCAGTAGTGTTTGAGCTGCTTTCCAGAAATTTTGATGTATGTGCTTTCATTTTCATTCATCAGAGAGTATTCTCTAATGTCCCTCATGAATTCTTTGTTAAGTCCATGGGTTGTTTAGATGTGTGCAATTTGATTTCCACATATTTGATAATTTTCCAGATAACTTTCTGTAATTGCTTCCTATTTTAATTCCATTGTGTTGCAAAAACATGTATTTTTCAGTTCTCTCAAGTTTTTTGAGTTTTTCTTGATGAACTTGTGGTTTTTGTCTTACAGTTCTGTTTAACACTGTAGGGTGTTTTTAGGAGAAGTTGTGCTAGTTGGGTGGAAGTTTTGGGGAGTTATATTTGGGGAGTTTTCCTTTGTTTTAGGATAGATTTGTTATAGAAGTAATGTAATCTGTTTTTCTTATTCCTTTTCATTTCATGAGCAGAGTTCCAAGTTCAAGAGGGTCCTCTTCTGTCAGTTCTGTGCTCTTCTGTGCAGTATCTAGGGAAGTCCCTTGAAGATAAATGTCTTACAACGTTTTTGAAATGTTTGAATTAATGTTGTTTACTAAAATGTTATTTCAGACACTATTTTTGGTGGTACCAAAGTCTTTCAGAACAAAAGTTTTTAGTTTTGGTGATGTTTGAGTTATCAGTTTATTTCTTTTATAGGCTATGCTTTATGTATTATGTCTAGGAATGCCTCACCCCACCCTAGACCCCAAAGATTTTCTCCTGAGTTGTCTTCTAACACCTTTATAACTTTTCATTTAAATCTGTGATCCATTTCCAGTCAATTTTTGTGTCAGGTATAAGACTTAGGTCCACATTGGTAGGGGGCAAAGAGGGAACATTGTCCAATTTCTACAGCACTGTTTGTTGAAAATGCCATCTTCATAGGTTTAATTAGTTTTGCACCTTTGTAAAGATGTATTTGCATGGCTCTTTGTGTTCTCTATTCTTTTCCACTTATCTATGTTTCTATCCCTGTGCTGGTACCACACTGTCTTGATCTGTGTAAGCTATATGGGAAATCTTAAAATCAGGCAAAGATTTTCCTCCTGTTTTGTTTTTCAAAATTGCTTAGCTATTCCAGATCTTTTGCCTTTACGTACAAATTTTATTTAAAAAAAAAAAATTTTTTTTTTTTAACGTTTATTTATTTTTGAGACAGAGAGAGACAGAGCATGAACGGGGGAGGGTCAGAGAGAGAGGGAGACACAGAATCTGAAACAGGCTCCAGGCTCTGAGTGCAGGGCTCGAACTCATGGACTGCGAGATCATGACCTGAGCCGAAGTCAGACGCTTAACCGACTGAGCCACCCAGACGCCCCTACGTACAAATTTTAGAATCATCCTGTCTATAGATAAGGGGCGGGGGGGCAGGGGAGGAAAAATGGGATTTTTAAAGAAATTGAATTTAAACCCATACGTCAGTTTGAGAGTGACTTTACCATCTTTACTGTGTGAATTTTCTAGTCCATGAACACGGAATGTCTCTACCTAAGCCAGAATCAGCTACCTTTCAGCATATAAGTCCTATATATGTTTTGCAGATTTATACCAAAGTGGGTTTTTGTTTTTCTTTTTTTGAGTTGTAAATGGTAGGTACTTCTTTAAATTTCAGGTTTCCACATGTTCACTAATAGTATATAAAATTTATTTTTGTATGTTGATCTTATATTCTGAAATCTTACTGAACTAACTCATTTATTAGTTTTAGGAGTTTTTTTGTAGATTCTTTATGATTTTCTTTTTAGATAGTCATTCCATTTGCAAATAAAGACAGTTTTCTTTTTTTGTCTCTTTATTTCCTTTTTTCATTGTGATCTTTAGAAATTCTGGTACTTAAAAAAAAAGGAAAGAAAGAAATTCTAGAACTACATTGCAAAGAGTTTTAAGCTTTAAAAAATAGTTTTGATGAAGCTTTATAGAAAGCTTAGGAATTATTAATACAGCATCAAACAAACCAATAAAGAATGAATTCTGGGAAATTAGGTTGTTTTTTTTTTTTTTTTGCTTTCAAAATATGACGACATACTGGAGTGCCAGTAATAAGACAGCATGTGACTCTTGATCTTTGGGTCATGATGTCATGCCCCATATTGGGCATAGAGCTTATTTGAAAATTAAAAAGAAATAGCACATCTTTATTCTTGCTAATTCTAAATATGTTTGAAATATTTTTTTATGTTACTCTTTTTACAAGATGTAGTCTTAATGTTGGTATTTTTCCTCATACAAGAAAAAAAAGTTTTCACCGATTCAAATTGTTTTTCTTTCTGTACAAGTCATGTATCATTTTTTAATTCAGGGTTCTGAACAAGGTTCTACCAGTCAAGAACAGGCCTTATCTGCTCAGCACGCTGCTGTTATTAACCTTGCTGGAGTAGGAAGTTTCATGCAGTCACAGGCAGCTGGTTGGTATCTTCATACCTTCATATGTTGAATTTACTAAAAATAACTGATCACTTAGGGATCTCACTCAGTATTTTAATTTTCCTTCTGTTACAAGCAGTGACTGGGGAAAAAATATATTCTATTTAATGCATGAACTATTAAGTCAATTGATAGCCGTCTGAGTTTTTTTTAATTTGACAGTTGATTAAAAGTATTTTTACCAACATACATTAACAGCAGTTGTGTTTTACTCACATTACAGTTTGTTAGCAGAATTTTATACAGTTACCCAACTTACTAGGAAGCTACCAAAGCTATTAAGTCTTCAGTTCTTCTGAGTTATTATTGAGACTGCATTTTTCTCGATTGCATAATCTTTTGAGTCATTTTGGTAGTTTGCAATTGAGTAATTAAGACTTAATGGTCAGAAATAACTTTATAAGCCACTTTTACCATCAGTTAAAAAAAAAAAAGTTGAGTTGAGATTATCCTAAATAACTGTTCACCACTTCTGGCAATAAATGGTGAACCAAAGATTTACCTCTAATGAAAATATCTTGTCACTTAAAGACAGTAAGTGTAACTTTGCATTTAATTAAAATCATGAAGCCACATGTGTAAGTAACCTATGATAGAGTTTGGGTATTGAGTAAATGAACATACCATCAACATTTCGAAATGTCACTGGGCTCACTGTCCTATCTATATATAACTTCCAGTGTCTGAATTTAGAGTAAGCAAGGTCTTACATAATGTCCTATTTACAGCTGGTGAATTTCCAGATGGAAATTTGTGACCATAAACCTTTTATTACCCAAGTTATAAATTTCCTAAAATGGCTGTCGTATACATTATTGGAAAGAATCTAGGCTGAAAAATCATGGGAATGTTTGTAGCGTTAGCCCTGCCAATGATTACTTTTGATTACATTTTGGCCTGGAATTTCATCTGTACGTTGAGAGGGTTGAACTGATTACTCTGGCCCCACTCAGCTTGGAAAGAAATGGAATAATGAATGCCGTCTCAGTTAATCACCATTGTTAGTGTAGTCTAAACTCATTGCAGCATCTTTTGTTTAAAGCACTGGTCCACCAGTTTCATCAGACTAGTAGATTGGACTTCTCCCACCCCTTTTCCTACTTCACTGACTATATTTTAAAGTACATACTGTATTTTACATTTTGCAAGAAAGCCTTCTCAACAAAATAGCACTAATACCAAATTTCATTGAAATTTAAGAGGGATACAGTGCTTTGTCACGTGGGCACTCCCTTCCCTTTCATATCCAGGAGATTTTATAATCAGTGGTACCCTCAACTAACAGGAGACTATACTAAATTTATTCTGAAATGTCTGTGATTTGATACTTAAGATTAATCATACTGATAACTTTTCTATTATTTCATTTTCTGTGTTGTCCTTTTCTAACCCTGGTAGCCTTCAAACTTTTTGACTGGCCTGCTTTCCCCTTCTCCTCTCTGTAGTGTTGTCTCAGCTTGGCTCTGCCGAGAACAGACCTGAGCAAAGCCTTCCTCAGCAGAGATTCCAGCTCTCCTCTGCCTTTCAACAGCAGCAGCAACAGATACAAGTAATCCAGCAACTTCACTCTGATTACATTTTTAAAGATACTCTGCTCCAAAAGTACCTTAACATACCTTTAGTTTCATTTTACTGTCTTTTAAGACTATAAGGTAGTAGATAAATAATTTAGCAAATTTTACTTGAAAGTCTGACATTTTAGCTAGTCAACTTGGAGCACGGAACATAATTTGTACATTTAAGCCATACTCTTCCTCATTTAAAATCTCTCATGAAGTGCTGGTGGCACAATAACCTACATTTTGTAGTTTCCAGTAGATTTTGAAACAGACAGCTGTTAAGTGCCAAAGGTTAACTTTTTGATACTGTACTGCAGAAAAAGGCAAGTATACCAGTGTTCCTGTTAGTAAATGTCATACCTGTTTTAGGAAAATGTTATTCCAGGATTGTAGGAAGTCAGCGTATTATAGTTGATTCTCTGATATGCAGGGTGGTTTTATATTGCTATAAACTATCCTACAACAAAATAGTGTAACTGAAGTTGCTGAGTTACTACAATATAGACTGGCGGGGCAAAGTAACAGAAATATTTTTAAAGTTTACCAAGAACCATTTTTAAAGCCCTCAGCAGGCTTCTGTGCCACTGGTGCTGTTTGACTGTGCATTGTCTCAGTGTGGTATAGTCCCTTTTCGTTATCTTGGTGCTTTCTCCCTTTCAGTTTTGTTGTTTTCATCTCTCAGGAAAAGCACCTTTCCATACCTGCCTACATTTAACGTAACTTGACTTTTTTCTCCCTCCCTTCTGCAGCAGTTGCGATTCTTGCAGCATCAAATGGCTATGGCAGCAGCAGCAGCACAAACAGCTCAGCTACATCGTCATCGGCATACAGGCAGCCAGTCAAAAAGTAAAATGAAGAGAGGCACGCCAACCACTCCAAAATTCTGAGTCTTGCTTTTTTTTCTTTTTTAAAACCATTAAGAGCATTGAATCAAAAGGATTCTGAGTTTCTACTTCATTTTTTGGTTTTGTTTTTTTTTAATGTCAGTATTTTACATTGCTAGATGTACAAACTTTATACAGAAGCACAACCCTAGCATTTTTAAGTAAAAACAGGGAGATGGTTTAATGAACCATTAGGGTTGGTTTGCCTAAGTTACTGCTTTTTCAAAATGGTTTCACTGTACATAATACACGTGGAAGTGACCTAAGAAATACTAGAAACATCTTTCAGAAGAATGTAGTTTGATATTTATTTAGTATAAAAGGTTTGTGCACAGTGTAACAAATACAGTTTTTACAAATCCGTTTTGAAAATGTGGTGGTGGTTTATTTGGGTTTCATACTCTTAATTACTTCATCCATTAGCTTTTTTACTTCTTTGTGTCTGGTAACTGCTCGGCTCATACAGTCCTGAAGTTTAGCACCAGTCAGCCCACTTCCACCTGAAAAATTGTTGTGCCAACACTTTTAAGATGTTTTACTTATAAAAAATCAATATCATGTTATAAAACAAAAAATTCAATAATGCAAGCCAGTGAGACTGTCTCAAGATTTGAGGTTTTGTTTTAACAAGACCTGCAAACGATTCTGATGCATACCTTAAGAACCATGGTAGACATATATATAGAAATGTAAGGAATTTGAGATAACCAAGAAACCACAGTAACTTGTATTAGCAAACAACAAAACATTCCATTTGGCCCTCTCTACTACAAAGAAGCTCACATTGAGTTTTTACTTTACATGTTAAAGGACTGAATGGGGGGGGCGTGGAGCACCTGGGTGACTCAGTTGGTTAAGCATCCTTAACCAACTTCAGTTCAGGTCATGATCTCAAGGTTCATGAGTTTGAGCCCCGCCCCACATTGGGGCTCTGTGCTGACGACAGCTCAGAGCCTGGAGCCTGCTTCGGATTCTGTGTTTCCCTCTCTCTCTACCCCTCCTCCACTTGCACTCTGTCTCTCAAAAATAAACATAAAAAAAAAAAAATTAAAGGACTGAATGGAAGGAACATACCTGGTTTGTGAAGACAACATAGTTTGCCTTCCTCATCCATTACTACTGTTAAGGTTCCTGTTGCCAGATGTTCCTCCTCTCCAGTAGGGTCAACTATGAGCAGAGTGCTATTTAAAAAAAAAAGTATAAATTATCAATCCACGGAACAAATTTCATTTGCAAAGAATAAAATCACTACTTGCCTTTTAGCTTAGGTATTAATGTCAAATACAAACACCAGAAAGAACTGTTAGGAAACCAGAAAAGTTAATAGCAACCTAATATTCTACTACTTGTTAGAATCTTTAATACCCGTAGTAAATACAGAAGGTAGCCTAAGGTAAATCTGTGAAATAATTGAAGGTTAATTACACAGGAATAAGGAAATCAAGGAACAGGTAGAGCTGAAAGTGTAAGTGTTAGCTGATAATTCTGCAGGGACAACAGCTATAAATCTAGGTGTCCAAGGCAAACTAGGATGTATGGTCAGCTTAGGCACTTCCTGAAAAGTTAGAAAGCTGAGTAACAGTCCATAATTACCTTGAATACACAATATTTTTAGACATTTGATTAACTTACTCATCAAATACAGCAAAAGAAGTTGCAACTGGATGAGTTCTAATATTCAAATAACTTTTCTTCTTTAAATTAACTTCTGCTAAGGCAGTTTCTTCATTTATAGTAACTTCTGGTAGCTGTACTAGAAAAGGCAAATATGTGAAGTAAATCACTGTAGTTTAATAAATACAGCTTTCTATGCTTTGTTAATTCACTTTTCCCTCATTAAATTGTCTAGAAATATTCTTTTTAAAAAAATTATCTTAGGATAATTAAGGTAAATTTAGTGGATATAAACATGGTTTTTAATTTAGAAACATCACTAAATTTTAACAAAAAACCTTTAAAAAGTTTATTGATAATGTTTAACAGAATATCCTGATATATAAAAAGGAATATTCCCTTTTATTAAAGTTGCTTACCATTTTTTAAAGCTGCTAACAAAGCAAATGTACAGGCATCCAAGATGTTCCCATCATAGTCCAGGCAAATGATATCACAGTACAGAACCCAAGAAAGCTAAAACAGAGTTTACAGAGTGTAAATTACAGCCTTCCGATGGTTAGAACATGGTATTTCAACTTAAAACCACACAGGACCCTTGGGTACACCAGCATGATAACCTTCAAGGCTCAAAAACTTAAAAACTTTACGAAGTACACAACCAGTAACCAAACATAGTAGACAGGTCTGGTAAAAGCTGGCATTTAACTATCAAGCTGTCAGGTAACAACATCTACATTTCCATCAAGGGCTACAGAAACAAATTAGCAGATGAAGGAAATGCTTTTGAAAGTTCCAAATGAAACCCAAAATGTACTTTCCCACAAATACAAAAAGCCTCTACATCCTACTCAACTTAGTTCTAACTTTTAAACAGACTTAAAATTTATAGTGTAGATTTACCCTAAACACGTTGGCTGATCAGATATTAATACTCTATATGGAATAAACAGTGGACTAATTATGTGTTAAAAGTTACCTCAGCTCAAAAAGTAGCTCTCAATCAGGTAATAAATTAAGTCGATTTTTTTTTTTTTATAAACCACATAGTTTATTTAGATGTTACAGAGTAAGCCTGATTTTTTTTTAAGCTGAATTCCAGCTTAAGACATTCATATCTGAGGCCCCTGTGGTCTACTATTTTAATTCCCCTGTTCTCTTCCCACAAAAAACAATTCAGAATTAATAAAACCTCATAGCTTCTTTATTCATCTTACCTTTCCTGGAGAAATGCATAAGTCCTCTTTCTGAATTATCTGTGAACTTGATTTAATAATAAAGTACAATAAATTAAAGGTCAACAATTATCTGAAAATGAATGACAGTCAAATGTTATAATGATCTTACTTTTCAATGACATCTGCAATGAACTGGCTAGCCACTTGGGCCTCTTCTCCAGGAGGTCCAGACCGAAATCTCGACGAACACAGAGGTGGTAGATCCACATTAGGAACTGAAAGAAACACTGCAGCTATGAACTAAACTTCACCTCTGGTTTATGGAAGTCTTAAAGACATTATTAATCAATCCACTGCAAAGGTGACAGTGGTCAAAGCTAGGATTGGCCAAGTGGAAAACACTGTAACACATCATTTCGTTTTTGGTCTAAGATTCTTAGGCTTAGATAAAATAAAATTTACATTTTCCAACTTTTTTTCTCACACAAATAATACCAAAAAAATACAAAGCATCTATTAAGGCCTCAATCATCCTAAATCCTTCAGAAAAATATATTTAACAAAATACTTCAATCTGTAGCACTCTACTCATTACCCAGCTGCCTGCATTTTTAAAATGTTGGTTCCTACCATAAAAAACAGATGGTCGAAGGAAGAAGAAAATCGCATAGTGGTATAAATGAATCTTTATGGAAACATAAACGTTCGTAATTGCAACTCTCCTAAGATTTGTATTTTCTTGGTTGACATCTGAATATATAAACAACAGATCATAGTTTAAAATTTTACAGAATTTTCTATCTTGCTACTAGGCTATCTTCTAAACAATGCAGAAAACTTTTCAGCAATGTCTGCTTCATTTCTATGTATTTTTGAATCATAAATTTTCTTCAGCTCAACTACTAGGACTTAACATTAGCATTAAGATCAGAATTAAATGTGTTAGAGTATTTGTATTAAAATTACAAAACCATTTAACTTACCAACATATCCTTTATCAGGGGCATCTGTTGGTGGTGCTGCAAATTCCTATAGAAGCAAACACACTTCCTATGAAAGATGCTACTCAAATTGTGAAGACAGTTTAGCAATCACTTGGACAACCCTTCAGCAAAGACCACCTTAGCTAGTTAACTACAAGAGCATCTACTATGCTTTGGGAGTCATCAGGCTACATGGACACTGGAGCCAATCCTCACATAGGTCTACAAGATAAAAAAGCAGGATGACATAGCTGCCTACACTCTAGTGCTACCAAAATTACCTGGGCTCAATAATAATGATAATAATAATAACAATAATAATAATAATAAAATTACCTGGGCTCTTTATAAATACATATTGAGTTTCTGCACCACCCTCTTCCAATCATTTAGTAACCAAAAACTCAACAGTGCAGTATACTGGAAAAAGTACATGCTTTGGAGTCGAAGTTATATCTAAGCTCTAGTTATGATATGTTCCTGGACAAGTCACTGAACCTCATATAAATGATTGTTTATCATTTATGATTGTTCATGATTGTTCTCAAATGATTGTTCTCATGATTAAACTGGTAATTTTGTAATAAAGCACCTAATTTAAGGTGCCTGGAACACAACAGTTACTCAGTAAATAGTAGCTCTTACTCCCTCAAACTTTTCTTTTGAGCAATTTCAATTTGCACAGATTAAATGGCTAACAGGAGGTCACCAAAAATCCCTTTCTCAACCAAATTCTTAAAAACTTAAAAGCAGTGAGGATTTAAAAAGTTGTTTCATTTTAGAGGTGCCTGCATGGCTCAGTGGATTAAGCATCTGGCTCTTGATCTCAGCTCAGGTCGTGATCTCATGGTTCATGGGTTCAAGCCCCACATCAGGCTCTGTGCTCACAGCGGAGAGCCTGCTTGGGATTCTGTCTGTCCCTCTCTCTCTCTGCCCCTCCCCCACTCATTCTCTCTCTCCCTCTCTCTCAAAATAAATTTTAAAAAATAGTTTCATTTCAGTCCATCTGACAAATGTTCATAAAAGTCATTAGACTTAGAGTATTATCAAAGGTGAAAGCTCTTGGAAAATGAAAAATACTAAAAAACTGACAGCTGACTGCCTAATCAACAGAATTATCAGTGTAAATTACAATCTAACAAGTATATGAAGCTAATTTGGTAATTCAAATCTCAGTAAGATATATTAAACCTACCGCCTTAATTCCACAAATTACTGTAGTATTTCCCAGCTTCACTAAAGCAGAACCATCTGCAGTACTAATTGAACCTGGAAAGATAAGCAAAATGAAAGAGTTCACAGAAAGTGTTCATTTTCTACATATAATTTTTCTTGCTATGTATCTCAGTTTCTTATTAAAATGTATTCATACCTCAAGCCCTTTTTAAGTAATGTAACTATTTAAAATTACTGTTTTAGGAATTATTCACCTGTCCTTGAATTTGAGTTAACCATTTCGTTCAGTCACAGAACTGTTGTACAGATAAAAACCTCTTAACACAAAATAATAGGATTCCCTTAGATATAGAATTTGGCTGAAATACTGTTTAAATGGCTCTGACTAAAATTTAGGAATGTCAGACAGGTTAAACTGGAAAATTCTGTGTTTGCAACAGAAAGTTTAGTAAGTATAAGACATACGAGAAAACCATGTCTTGTGGGGCATCTGGGTTGCTCAGTAGGTTAAGCATCAGATTCCTGGTCTCCGCTCTGGTCAATCTCATGAGATGTTGAGCCCCACATCTGGCTCTGTGCTGACAGCGCCTGACAAGGCAGAGTCTGCTTGGGGTTCTCTCTCTCCCTCTCTCTCTGCCCCTCCTGACTCTCTCTCTCCGACATTAAAAAGAAGAGAAAAAAAAAAGAAAACAGGGCACCTGAGTGGCTCAGTCAGTTGAGCACTGGACTTCAGCTCAGGTCATGATCTCGTGGTTGGTGAGTTCAAGCCCCACACTGGGCTCTGTGCTGACAGCCTGGAGCCTGCTTGAGATTCTGAGTCTCCCTCTCCCTCTACCCCTCCCCTGCTCACACTCTGTCTCTCTCTCTGTCTCAAAAATAAACATTTTAAGAAAGAAAGAAAACCATGTCTTGGAGATTTTGAAGGAAGGAAAACTTCAAATTTTAAAAAGATCAATTGAGACGATAGTTTTAAAAAAAAACTTTACAAATAAAAATACTAGCATAAAAAAAAAAAAACAAAAAAATACTGAAGCAACTTCATTCTATCTGAGAACTGAAAATACCTCACCTATGTTCACAGTAGTGGTTCTGAATTCACCAAGTTCTCTTCCATCTGGACGGCAGTTCTCTTTCTAAATAAACACATTTACATGAAAGGAGATTACATCTACATTTGTATTTTACACACACCAGGGAAAACACATTAAGCCTCATTAATTCATAAGTCAGTTTCCAAAGAGGCACCTGATACTGTTATCAAAAGATACAATACAACCTGTACAAAACCACCTTTACTCACCAGAAATCTCCTGTAATACTCCAGGGGTTCCACAGTTCTGAAACATGGAATCATATATCGAGGTAAGTTAATGAATTTTAACATAAATCCCGAAACTGGCAAAGATCTTAATGTGATCATGCAGCATAAATCTCCCCAGTTTGTAACTAAGTTTCTTTCATGAATTCTGATGTTTACTTTGCCAGCTAGGACTCTTCCCGTAGCAATCACACTCAACTGCTGTCCTTAACTCTACCTTAAACAATCACAGGTTGGAGCCCAAAACCTTTGAACATCTTTAATACATCCAGTTGTTAAAATATTAGTAATGTCAGTTTCGCTCCGAAGCATAAGAAAAAAAAAGTATTCGCACTATCCTGTAACTGAAATTTAGCATGTTCTTCAATTATGACTAGGCAATAATGAAATGAATAATGAATTATGCCTTCATTAAAATATTAGTGCCTGCAACTTTAACAACCACAGAGATTAAATGTTTTCGTTTTACTTTGGAGTTGTCGAAGGTTGTGTGCGAACTCGTTACTTTGAAATTCCAGTTGTTACTATACTCCCCACTAGATCTTGTTTAAGAAAGTTAATTTCGAAAAGCATATATTTATCACTCTATCAAGAACTCAGAGTTTATACAAATAGAAAGAAAACTGTGTCAACATAATTGTTTTCCTTTGGAATCGTCTATATCTTATCCATTTAAAAACTTGACTCTGAGGACCATCTACAGGCTTCACCAGACTGGCACAAAAGAGGCTTAAGTAAAACCTTCCGAACAAGGCACAGTCTTTTAGAAATCAATCAGGGAGAGGGAGAATAGGGTAGTATGTGGTTCTGATACAACACTTTTTAAAAGACTTATGACGGTGTCTGGTGGGGCCGCGCGTCCACTACACAAGCGCTTGCAGCCGATACTGAACTCTGTACACAGTCCCTTCCATCTCCCCTCTCACTGCGGGAAAGCCCGCTTTCCCTTCACTACGACCACCTCCAGGTCCTTCCGCCCGTCGCCTGCTTCCGTTAGAAAAAGGAGTGGGAAAATGGCAGGGTGGCCTCCAGGTGAAAAAATCCCAGCGAAGGGTTAAAGGAAGCCTCCATCCGCCAGGGTACAAACACGCGCCCGCGGGCCGCCGACACTCACTTGAACCCGGCCGCCATCTTCCCGCCCGCGCGCGTGCGCCTGCGCAGAGCAACGCCGCGCCTCGCGACCGCTCGCCTACACCGCCTCCAAACTTTCGACAAGGACGCCTGCGCTCTGGTCCCGCTGCCTGAGACGCAGCCGGCTTGGCGCGGCGCGGGCGGTTCTCGGCCCACCTTGCTCCGACCTTCTCTGTCCCGGCAACGCCCCTAGGCTTCTTCTTTCCCTTGGACGCGTTTGACGAATCTGCCATCAGAGAAGACGAGAGTGTATCTTTCTAGAAACAGTCTGGTAGTTCAAGAGTTTAAGAGAAAACCGACCGTACTGCCAGGAATTGAGTATTAAGAGTGGAGCATTATTCCAGAGTGTCTGTGTCCTTTTCCCGCCTCCGTCTTAGGCTGGGCCCTGGGTTTGCCCCCTCCCAAGCAAAGGGCTCCCGGCTCTAGTTACTGGAGAATTACATAAACTTTCTGTGCACTCACTATCCGCACCAGGTTATACTTTGCAGGTCCCGGGAGCAGGCTCCAAAGGAGTGGCTTGTGTTGCGGCTCAAAACCTCCCCCTCCCTCCTAGGTAGGGTTGCCGGACAGGGTACAAGACATTCGATTAAATTGGAATGTCAGATAAAGAGAAAATGTTTTTCTTAAATATAATTTACTGTCAAATTGGCTAACGTACAGTGTGTATACCCCAAACAATACATGCTATTAGTTGTTACCAGGGGCTGTGGGGGAGCAAAGAATGTTTTAGAAATAGATGGCGGTGACGGATGCAGAAAATTGCGAATGTAATTAGTAACACTAGTGTACACTTAAATTCGTTAAAGTGACAAATTTTATGTTGTATAAGTTTTTTTTAATTATTTTTAATGTTTTATTTTTGAGACAGAGAGAGACAGAGCGTGAGCAGGGGAGGGGCAGAGAAAGAGTGAGACACAGAATCCGAAGCAGGCTCCAGGCCCTGAGCTGTCAGCACAGGGCCCGATGTGGGGCTCGACCTCACAAACCGGGAGATCATGACCTGAGCCGAAGTCGGACGCTCAACCGACTGAGCCACCCAGGTGCCCCTATGTTGTATCAGTTTTTAAAAACTCGTGTAATATACCGAAAATTTTTTTAATGGGTGGGTTGTATGGTGTGCGAATTATATTTTAACAAGTCTGTAAAAAAAAAAAACAAAAAACTGTTCATTGCTTATCTGAAACTCAAGTTAGTGGACATCCTGCATTTTTACTTGCTGATTTTGTCCACCATACTGTGGAACAGAGGGCCCGCCTCCACAGCTGACCCTGGCTCCCAAGAACTACATGTTCTTCTCCTCGCCTTGCCGCGAGAGGGCGCTGTGGGCGGCGGGCGCCAGGCCTGCGCGGCCTCTCTGCCGGCTGGAGGCGGGGCTGCTCCGAGGCTCTTCCGCGTGTGTGTAGGTACTTGGTAGGGCGGGCGGCGACCTGGGCATGGAGGATGCTTTCGCTGGTGCTGCAGCTGGCGGTGCTCGGCGTGGCGCTGGCGGCCGCAGCCTTGATACTGGTGAGGAGAGGGATGGGGGATCGCCGCGGGCCCAGGCTCACTGCTGTCTTAGAGACTCGGCCGGCACGCATCTCCTCTGCATTGCCCACTCTTCGCCGGGTCCCTTTCCACCAGGCTTCCCGCAAATCTTGACCCGAGGATTCCTTCTCCTAGAATTCTACACACCCTTTCTTCCGTATTTATTTTTGTTTTGCAGCTTTACCTCCCTCTATGCCCGGAGTCTTGTACGCTTATTCACTGGGGGTCGTGCTTACCAGTCTCCATTTGCCCCCTGGTCCCTGGACCTCTGTCCACCTGTCCTATCTGTCCCGACCTCTCCAAGACCCCCCACCCCCACCCCCGGGCCTGCAGCCTATGCAGTTCTGGCTCCACCCAGGAAGGTCTTGAGCCCCCAAGAGGTGTGTGCTCTCTAGACTCACCCTTTTCCTGATGTTAAACAGAAAGTGGTGACAGCGCACCGCCGAGAGCCATCTGTTACAGATTGGAATAAATTCGTGGATCAAGAAGACTCAGGAGGGACACAGTAAGACGAAGACACACAGGCGTGGTGTTACCATGTGTCTGGGAGTCGTTACGTCCCATTATTGAACACCCTAAATTCGCTGCCTCGGAATGAGGCTATACAATAGAATTCAAACTCGTGTTTTCTTTGCTCTTATTGTGGAAACAGAAACGTTGTATAAACACTTGCCGATCCATAACTAATAGTCAATTTGCCAAGTGACCTTTCCCTCATATAATTTGGAATGAACCTGCCATCCAGTTAGTAAATGGAGTTTACTCCAGTACACTTCCAGGAGTAAAAGGAAGTTTCAGCTTCCTTGACACTCATATTAGCCCTCTAGGTAGCACTGCTAGGAAGGCCATTCTTCCACCTTGCTAGGTTTGCAAACTCACGGTTTAGAAACAATAGAGAAAAAGCCATGTGTCCTGACTACTTCGGTGATTTGTGTCTGAGTGAGAAAGGGGTCTTCTTTCTTCCATAGTGGAGATTCTGGGTTTTTTCGGGGTTTGGAGCAAGTCAGGGTTTCAGTGGGGCAAATTTTGACAGAATCCGGGATTGAATCGTCTTGTTAAATCTGTCTGTTGCACAGAGTTAAATGAGTCCATTATGAGGGTATACTGGAAGTATTTGATCCCACTGGCTTGAAGTGATTATAAGAACTACCATTTATTGAGGACTTATAATATGTTGGGTATTGTATTCAGTGTTTAACAGGGGCATCCCTTGTGATCTTTAAAACAATGCTGACATAAATGTTATTATCATTAGCTTTATTTGATGAGGAAACAGATTGAGATTGAGAGATTTCACATATGAAAATGTCACACAGCTAGTGGAACTTCATTTTTTTTTTTAAATGCCAGAGTAGGAAATTATAAAAGAAAAAAAAAAAACTAGTTTCATATATATCCACCTTCCAGACATTTCCTCACCCCACTTCTTTTCTGAATTATTTTGAAGCAAATCTAAGACATAACACTCTATCTGTAAATCCCCAGCATTTATCTCTAAAGACAAGATTCCCTTTTTTAAAATATAACCATAATAAAGTTATCATGTTTTTTTTTTTTTTTTTAGTTTATTTATTTTGAGAAAGAGAGTACAAGCAGGGGAGAGCCAGAGAGAAAGACTGGGAGAGAGAACCCCAGACTCCCCGCTGACAGTGCAGAGTTCGATGCGGGGCTTGAACTCAGGAACCATGAGATCATGACCTGAGCTGAAAACAAGAGTCAGATGCTTAACTGACTGAGCCACCCAGGTGCCCCGTGTTATCATGGATGTTTAAAATTTTTAACCATTATTAAGTGATTTCAAATATCCCATCTGTTCAAATGCCTCATGTATGTTTTAGTATAGTCTTTTCCATTGAGCATTCACATACACTTAGCACTCAACCGATACCTCTCAAGTATGTTAATCTGTAACAATTTGTCTTGCGTTTTTGTTTTTGTTTTTCCTTGTCTTTAATAAGTAGTGGTTTGTCCTGTAGAGTTTCCAACAATCTGAATTATACTGATTGCATCCCCTTGGTGATTGTTAACATCTTACTCTGTCTCCTGGATTTCCTATAAACTGGTAGTAATATTTAGATATGTAATCAAATGCATGTTTGAGGTTTTTAATCAAAAAAGGCATGTGATTGATGCTGAATACTTCCTCTTGTATCATACCAGAAGGCTTGTTATATCTAATTTTTTCTGATGTTGAGAGGATCCAGGAGTTCAATTTTGTTAGCCTGACCGACCAATCATAAAGTTTGTCAACCTAAATCCATTATTTCTCTGGGGGTTGCAAGGTGGAATATTCTAATTGTTATCATTCCTTTTTCGTGTATTACCTGGAATTCTATAATGAAAAAAAAATTCATTCTCAGCCATTCAGTTACTCTGACATCTTTCACTTATAAAAGGTAAGACAAAAGGCAGAATTTTCAAAATAATGAGGTGATTCTGTGGCATCTTACAGAGAGCATTGATTACTTTTGTTAGGAAATTGAATTTAGAAATCACATTCTGGACACTGGGGTGCAGAATAGGAACTTTCTTTTATCAGGGAGAGGG